AATGACTAAAGTGTATTACAAACGTCAAATAGGAGGGCTTTAGTTACTTCTGTATTTGGGAATTAAAGTGTTTGAAGAAAAAGACTGTTGAAATATCTGATTAGATCCAACCATTTCGATGAATTTCCAGATTGTTGCTCTAGCTTATGTCATATAATATTGGTTGATCTGCCTAGTAGCCAACTTATAGATAATTCTGCACAAATTCAATTCACGAGGTAAAAGGAAATAGTTATGAAAGTGGTTACCAATCTGGAAGACTTACCATTGAAGTACACTCCAAGTTGATATTGAATGGTATCACTCATGTTTGATTATCGTGTTCTATGAACTTTTGTAATTTTTCGATGGTTTCTTTATCAGTTATATTTTCTTCGCTTTTCAGATGACACTATATCATGTTACACTTCACACTCTTATTATTCCCTTAGGTGGAACATTTCGCTTCAACAGAATGTCTCCGTTTCATCCTTTTCTTTACAGTCCTCTTCAACTGGCTCTACAGTCGTCCACAAGCTTTCATCTCCTCCACGTCACCCTCGGAGGCACACCAAATTCATCGTTTCTCATTCAGGTCGCACTCGAGGGCCTGAATTGCACACGATGTTACTCAATCGTCTCTTCAGTGTGTGCCAGATCCATCCCCATTTCTCTTCGGCATATTTATTGTGAAATAGGTTCTTGGTGGGTTTGCTTGAAAAAAACAGAACTTAATAGATGAATAGTTTAATTCATCTACCCAGTTATAAAATTAAACAAAAACTACAGTGAATATTGTGCGTCGGCGGCAAAACGGTAGGATGGTCACCAACCACGCAGGTAGTTCGAGGATCGATCATTAGCCACCGACGCACTCCTTTACCTCGCTAAGTGAGTAATGAGACTGGTAAAGAGGGAAGGTTGGGCATGAGGTCTAGCAACCCCATCCCGTAAAAATAAACACCATCTCTAGCTTGAAGCCCTATGTACCAGCAGGAACGTAAAGGAATAAAAAAAACAGGAAATATTTGTAACTCCTCTTTTATTTTATCTCTAGTATGAAACCAGTTCGCCTTAAAGATAGGTGAATAGAACCATTTGACATAAACACGTTATAACTGTACTCACTAGTCTTAGTGTATAGGAATAATGTTCACCGAAGAAAGCATAAAATCAACACGTTAGATTAATCCACAATCGACCATTAAACTTCAGGTATATTACAAACAACACTATCAAAAGTGACACTGAGATCGATTACAATCATATGATATCACACAGACCTTGGTAACCTACCAAGCAAAACACAATACCATCAACAACAAAAAAATCTATATCACTGAACGAAAAGAAAATATGAATAATTAAAAATAGTAGAATGAAATTGTTTGCTTGTTTGATGATTTGTATCGTTAGCGTATGATTCAGCATCACGTGTATTGGTAAGATTTTCGCCTAACTTTTAGAAGGGTTGGCAATTTATACTAATGCAAAAGTTAGGAGTTATTATCATTATATACGCGAATATTGTCCGAAAGTATAATACAGTACATGATTTGAAAACTTTACCTAGGAACAAGTCTACAGTAAGTTACGCTCTGATCCAGTATTAAGAGGTAGTCAGTATAGTAACCACGTCAGAATTTGATTGGTCGGAGGATTTTATCATGACCTGACAATAGTTAGAGAATCATTGGAAAACCAACTGGGAGTACTGGACAGCCAACTGTTCCGTCCTAGTTTGAGACTCTCCATCAGCACGCACCCACCGCCAGGGTTCGAACCCAGGACCTTCTGATTACAAGACTAGCGAATGATAAAATCCAGTAACCAATCAAACAATTCCTCACAAACCAACACTTGGATGTCGATGAATTGCTTATTAGCGACTGGCACTATTCAGGCAGGTAGTAAGTTACCTGGAATTCTAGTGGGAAGTCGTGACCAGTAGGGTACAGCAAGTCGGGCGTGAGAATAAATACTCGCCGAAGACATTGTCTAGTTGTCACGCCATGTCGTGAATTGGCAGAAGTTGGAATTCATAGACTGGCCATTGGACCGGGTCCCAGTGGCTTAATGGCCTATGAGCTCGCCTTGTAACCAGAAGATCCTGGGTTCTAACCATGACGGTGGGTGCGTATTGATGAAGAGTCCCACACTAGGACGAAACAGTTGGCTGTCCAGTACACCCAGGTGGGTTTTCCAATGGTTCTCTAACCGATGTCAGCTCATGATGAAATCCTCCAACCAATCAAAACAAAATCCCTACAAAACCAATACTTGAAAACTAGTCAGAATTTATTGATCAAATCACTACAGTGGCTAACATATTATGTAATATAAACCTGTAATCTAATACTGGATGTTCAATGGAGTCACAAGATTGGATTTCTTGTTTATGAATACTTATCAGTTGACAGAGCTCATATTACCTGAGATAGTTGAGACTAAAGACGATTTGATATTAGTTGAATCATACAAATTGACAAAATCTAGTCAATAATCTAAGTAAAATAGAAGGAAATTCGAAGGTGATCTACCTGACAGAGTATCAAGACCGGATGACTACTGATTAGTTGCTTCCATTAAATGTAGGACGCTCAACAAGACAACTTGAAAAATTCTACTTAGTAATGATCAACTAAGGAATTTTAAGTACTTTCGAAATCTCATTAGTGCAGAAAATTATTAAAGATGAAGTAGAGATAAAAGACAAAATAATTAAGTACAGAATGTTAAGGAAGTACATATTTTGATTTACATAAAATCGAACTCAAGTGTATAATTGAATCGTCGGTGGTCCAGTGGTGGATTTCTCGCCAACCTCCCACGTGGTCCGGGTTCGATTCCCAGCTGACGCACTCCTAAACCTCGTCTAGCTGGCAATAAGACTGGTAAAGAGGGAAAGTTGGGCGTGAGCCTAGCAACCTCATCCTTTGAAAAAAACTGCTACTGAAACCAGGGCTTCGTGTGCTCTTGGAAGTGTGTGGGTGGTTGTAACCTCTCGGCTGCCCACACCGTGGAAACTGAAATCTGAAAGCTCTAGCTAGAATCCCTCTATTCCACTCGGAACGCAAAGGAATGATAATGTGTAACTGAGACCAACTCAGATCATTATTCAATAGTCAGTAGTTTCTACTGACAGAACACAATAAAATTAAAAACAACTAACTGAGCTACAATTCGTCTTCATCATTTCAAAAATCAATCTGCATTTTACCGTATAGATTGTTCCGATCCTATATGAAGCTTTGCTGCCTAATGTGAGACCGTTTACACGGTTATTCATTTCATTGATTTTCACAAGATGGAATAACGATGCAGGATAATTCCGAAGCAAGAGATTGAAAGAGCCTCTGATACTGTCAATGAAAAAAGGTAATTAGAGTGAATTTTCATAGTTTTCTTTCAACACATTAGCTAACGAATCTCTCGGCTAATCAGGGTCTGTAAAGGTTGGAATAGAAAAGACAGATTTTCACCAGCGTCTTAATGAAAAAGTCTTATAGGAACAAAAGGTATTTGCAAAGGACACAACTCCATTTAGATATTTTATGGAATAGCTCACTGCTAGTGCCGATAAGGCTATGCGTTGTTTTTTTTAGTAAACTGACACATTTCCATATACTACTTCATACGAGGGACAGTACCACAAGACCTGTGTATTGGTGTAGCCAAGTAATGTCTGGAGGTGAAAAAACATTGGGCGTCGAACTCACATAAATGCTTTTGCCCTGTTAGAGAATTCAGATGTAACCAATGACATCAAAGGCTAACAGTTTTCCCCGATCAAATTTAATATTCCAGAGTCCAAGTTGGTTGTGTAATAATACATAATTCGTGTTCTGAGAAACTATATTACCTAGTTCAAATCCTCTGTGCTTCTCAAGAAAGGAGTCTTTCCTGTTAATAAAGATTAGAACAACCAATGCCGACTGAAGTCGACAAGTCTAGCAACCTCAAGTTCCAATTCTGATTTTCTTTTACTACTGAATATTACAAACCAATGACTTCCAGTATTTCAGGTTGCTATCTGGTTCAACGTGAGTAGTCTATACTAATGCACCATCTACTTAACACTAAAGCCCATTTCAAACGTTCTTCAAAGTACTGAACTCATCAGTTCAGTTTTCCGCCTAATAAACGGTCTACTGGATTGTCCTTTTATGATAATTATTTCCACAAATCTATAATGCATTTCCTAACAATTCTTATAGTGAATCTAAACAAAATTCTGGTTTCCACATAGAACTTTGCACCGATGTGCAGCAAGTTCGAGTCGCCACACTTCACTCAGCACACAAAGCCAGAGAAGAAGAAGAAAGTAAAAAGAAACGCAAAATAGAGACAGTAAACAGAGATATGAGGCAAAAAATAGTAATATCGAAGAACAATATAGTTTCATTGGAAATTATAAGTCACAAGGAGTGGATGCATCTGCACCAGCCATTGAGAACGACTTTGAGCCATATCACCAATTGTCTCCAGCTTCATTGGTGTTTACCGTCCCGAGGATCCCAACCAGGAAGTCTACACCTTCATACGTGCCTTAAACTAACTATTGTGGATTTCATTGACTGATGAAGCCATGTTTTGGTCTGACCACCACTGGCTCTTTTCCAACCTGACCCTATGTCAGCTAACATTGCCTATTGCCGAGGAAGGCGATGGCTAGGCCAGCATGCGTAACACCTGTCCTAACCATCTCTATCGATGTAACTTCACAGCCTCGTCTATTGATTTCCACTCCCACTTACCTAGCACTCGACCGAAGCCTAACCTCAATATTGCTCACCCTATTATACCATTTCATAAGGGAGATAGAACACAGGCACCTATGATCAAAGACAGCTAGCCAGCTTTTCATGTCTTCCACGTGAAAATACCATATATAATGACACCGGATTTTAACGCATACAGAATATGTAAACAGAAAAAAATACGTAAAAAACTAGCAAAAGCAACAACATACATAAAGAAAAACCACCTACTGAAGAGAAAAAATTTTATATACTTCAAAAAGTGATATGATATTATGTAATAAAGTTCATTTATAAAAAAAATTACAACATACATAAAGGAAAAGATTTATGAAAAGAGCGACATATTTAGAAAATTGAATAAATAAAAAATAGAAATTTATATTGAATTGTACATACATACAACACACACTGAATAAAAAAGAGAGGAGATAAATGAGCAACAGTTAAGCGAAAGACACAATATAATGCAATCCCTTGGAAGGGCTTCTATACACATAAATAATACAAAGTACAAAAAAGCATATTACAAACTTTAAGACAGAAGGAGAGGTTTAAGCAAGCTAACCAAAAAACTCAAAAAGAGAAGCAGGAGGTACTAGAAATTTTGTCATGAACATCACTCACATTTTTTGAAGAAAGACTGACTTTACTTCGGTCCACTTGTTTTTTACCCTTGGCACTTTTGATGATTGGAAAGTGGTGATTGCATGAGTGTTCAGTGTGTTGTTCATCTAATCAAACTAGCCCGTGCCCCCCCCCCCGGCCACCGTCTTCATTTGAGTAATAACTGATAAGTATTCACTCTTAGATAGGAGTAACATGTGTTTAAGATAAGAATAATTTGATGACAGGCAACACAATACTACTATTGTGTGTGTAATTGCATACAAAAAGGACTGTAAATTGATTTCATCATGTGTTGATGAGGGAAGGAGGAATAAAGTCAAAAACAATAAGAATGAAAAATATATGTATAAAAGTACTAGCTACTTTTACAGCTGTAGCAATCAAATTCTTTTTTTATTACAGACATATGTGTTGTATTGATACAAATATTAATGGTAGAAAAAGGAAGAATGGTACTGCCTACCTACCCAGCTAGGCAGGTAGGTAGGTAGTAAACTGGACGACATTTTGTTCATAAATTGATAACAACTCATAAAAGTGGTAAGTTTGATAAAGAAGAATGAATTACAGTTGAATAATACTGGCTTAAGCATTTACACATGAATGAAAGAAGAAAGAAGAAAAACAACAACAACAGCAACAGGAAGTTGTTAATACAAAATTGGCACAATTTTGTTTTTGTTTGATTTTCACGACCCCAGTTGATTATCTCCATCTATCCATCTATTTACACATTTCTGATCAAAGGTAATCTATGCGGATGTGAAGCACGTATATGTGACCAAATTTGATAACGTTGTTTTACACATTTACATATTTCTGCTGATTGAGGTATGAAACGTCTACGGAGGTTAGAATGATTCATCTTCAGGTTGTCAATTTCATTACAATCCTTTGTAGGATATGCATCAAGAGATAAGCAGTTATTTGATGATTCTGATCGCAGTCGATTGTGTAGTGCTTCATTAGCTGCAGAAAAACTCGGCCATATGCCTAAAAGATAAATTATGTTAAAAGAAAAAAGAGTGAATAAATTGAGAACACTTTCATTGGAGGACTTTATCATTTTGAATGTGTTGTTTTTAAAAAAATTTCTCGTAAACCTCAATAGCATATGAGTATTCTCATTTAAGGACCAGTGAGTACAATCGATAAGCTTAACAGTTAGCTTTCGGCACAAAATTTATGCATCTCATTTCTAGGATAGAACTTGTTTTGTTCACATGTGTCACAGATCTTTTTGTTAGAACTCGAAGCAGCTGAATACCAAGAATTCATTTCAAAATGTGGAATTGCAAGGCGAACTAGCGTTTCTTCATTATTATGTTTATGGAGACTGGGTCAATGAACTCAATACATATTTTTTGTTGTGCCCTAGACATGAGGTTATGAATCGCCAGTGACTAATTTAGCTGCAGCACGAGAGTAGAACATTTCCTTCTGGGTGGTGGCCCTATTCCGTTTAGAGCTATATCTTGTGCAAACGTGGAAACTTTTGGCTTGAAAGTTATACAATACATGTATGGTTGAATAACAAGCGATATAACTGTCAAAAATTTATTAAAACATCTGGTTTCTATACAAAAACATAAGTTTTATTGATTTGACAATCTAAGCCAATCTTGGAATTATAAGCATAACACAGTAACTTTTTTAAAACCTTTTCAGTACTTTGTATTTTGGGGATTTTCACTCTCTTGAGCAATTTAGATATTACTGTTATCACACACCATAACATTGTTGTTTAATTTCATCATAGATGCACTAATGAAATTGACCCTAACTGACTTAAACGACTTAGGGACTGACTTGTTAATAGGGTACAACCTTTAGTGAGTCTAATTATACAGAGGATACAGTCCTCCTAGGTGAAGACGCTGACAAAATGTAGAGTCTTCTGAACACCTTGAGCAAAAATCTTCAGGTGTTCGGTGTGCCATTAGCTCCCTTCAAATGAAAGATGATGCTGAAGGAGTGGATCACACCGACTCCCAGACTAAAGATAGGGAGTGAAATCGTAGAGCGCGTTGACCACCTCACTAATTTGAAAAGATGCACCACAATCCTAACGGACTGATCGTTGATGAGGTCTCATCACGGATACAAAAGGCTCATATGACATTTGCCAACTTGAGTCATCTCTGGCGTTTACGTGGTGTTCAGCTATCAATCGAAAGTCGTGTGTACTGCGTAAAAGTTCGCTCTATCCTTCTTTATGGCTGTGAGACATTACTGTCGGAAGTGGAAGACATGGAAAAGTTAGCTGTTGTATAATATGAGTAATATTAAGGTTAAGCGTAAAGTGCTAGGTAAGCAGGGTAGATCAATCTGTGAAATTCCGAAGCTAAATAGATTGAGATGAGTAGGACATGTGTTATGCATGCTGAGCCATCGCCTTCCTCAACGAGCAACGTTAGCAGACACAGGATTAGTTGTGGTCAAATCAAAAGCTGTCATTAGTGTATGAAGTCTTTGATAGCTGGTTTGGACCAAGTAGGGAGGTGTAGACTATTTCGTTGAGGACACTGGCATGCTAAGAACCAATGGCTGGAGACAATTAGTGATATGGCTCATAATCGTTCTCGATGATGGCACAGGTACATTCGCTTTTTGTTACTATTCTTCCTCCTATCCATTTATGCTTATTATAGTTCCTCTATTAATCTCTTTTCTCTACACTTGTGTGCTGTATGGTGTGGCGACTTGAACAGCTACATTTCTGTGCACAATTCTCTGTTGAAACTTAGTCAGTCAGTCAGTTATATCGTATAAGATCAATAACAATATTCGTTCAAAAGTTGGCCTAGTCATTTTTCAAACAGTCAAACAAAACGCCTTTCTCTTATACTTCCACCACTATTTCCACTATTTCTTCATGATTTAAAATTTCTATAAATGCTTTCAAACCATTACTACTAACCACTATAGGATAGTACACACAACATTATCTGTCAGTTATGGCTTTGGCATGTGTTCGTTTTCTGTTGTTGTTTAAATTTCCTGCAAAATTCAAATGAACACAGTTTGATAAACAAAAATTTCATGTGATTAGCTATTTTATATCGGCAGAAGTATATATATATATATATATATATATATATAATACTGTACAATTACACTTGGTGAAAAAAACAATAAAAATACCGATGAAATTGCTGGGTTTATTTATTTGTTCATTTAAATAATCAGAAAAATTCATTTCACTACCTTATTTGGACTAATAATCATGGTGTATTAATGGAAATACGTGTGTGTGTGTGTTTGTAGTATTATGATTCCTTTGGATTTCAACGACACTTCACCATTTCACCCTGCTCTCTACAGCCGTTTTTAGCCGGCTCCAAAGTTGCCCACAAGTTTTCATCTTCAAGTGTTGGTTTGTAGGGATTTCACTGATTGGTTACAGGATTTCATCATGACATGACATCTGTCAGAGAACCATTGGAAAACCCACCTGGGTGTACTGGACAGCCAACTGTTTCGCCCTAGTGTGGGACTCTTCATCAATACGCACCCACCGTCATGGTTAGAACCCAGAACCTTCTGGTTACAAGGCGAACTCGTAGACCATTAAGCCACTGAGACCTGATCCCATGACCACTCCATGAATTCCAACTTCTACCAATTCACGACATAGCGCGACAACTAGACAATATCTTCGGCGAGTATTTGTTCTCACGCCCGACTTGCTGTACCATACTGGTCACGACTTCCCACTAGAATTCCAGGTAACTAACTACCTGCCTGAATAGTGCCAGTCGCTAATGAGCATCTCATTGATATTCAAGTGTTGGTGTGTAGGGATTTGATTGATTGGTTACAGGATTTCATCATGAGCTCGTCTTGTAATCAGAAGGTCTTGGGTTCGAACCCTGTTGGTGGGTGCGTGCTGATGGAGAGTCTCAAACTAGGGCAGAACAGTTGGCTGTCCAGTACTCCCTGCAGGTTTTCCAATGATTCTCTAACCGATGTCAGCTCATGATGAAATCCTGTAACCAAGGTTTCACTTCCTTCTCACACAATCTCCTCCATGTCACCCTCGGAGCCACACCCAACTCGTAGTTTATCAATTCGGGTTCCACACGAGGGACTGCTTGGCACGCGGTGTCATTCAACTGTCTCTTCAGTGTGATTCTAATCCATCTCTATTTTCTCCAGCATATTTGTTGAACATTACGTTCTCGGTTGGTTCTTTCCCAGAATCTCTTGTTGCTCATGTTTTTTGGTCATTTGATATCTTCATTATCGAGAGAAGACAGTTGTTGATAAATGTCTGCAGCCTGCTGGAAATGCTGTTGGTGACGCACGTGCAGGGTCTCTTAACCATAGAGAAGCACTGACTTTTGTGCTGAAAACCCGAATCGTTTCTTACACTTGGTAGAGAAGATTTCCACACAGATGAAAGCTCATCTTGCTTTCTTCATCCATGCCGACTGCAACTGGATGGGGGATGCTGCCTAGATAGGTGAAAGAAGTGACTTCCTTCAAATCTCTTCCGGTGATGGTGATTGGTGTTTGTTGTTGTCCTGTCTAAGCTACTTGTTCTACCAACTTGCTAGTTTTTGCCTGCAGGTCTTCAAGTTTATGAGACATTAGATACAAATCATCCATCAAGACACTTAATCGCTGATGACACTGAATAGCAACTGGATTATGTAGTAAATTGACGAATGTTGGAAGTCATGGTCATGTAATCGTGTCATAACATGACAGGTGTGAACTGGATATCCTGTACGGTTGTTGATGAATACAGCTGTAAATTCTCCAAGTGCTCCTTTGTCTTTAACGATTCTATAGCTGTTAGCCTGTGATGAAAATCACTACCGTAAGGTGAAATAATTCGACTTCAAAATCGTTAATTATAGCGATTAACTATCAACACTTAATGCAACCTAACATATACGAAAAGGCGAAAGGAATGCTTTTCTTATACAAAATTACACTTATATTTCATTGGTAAGTTTCTCCACCTGTATTACATAATCGCACTGATAAGTTTATATATATACATATAGTTTACTAATGTTCTTACCTGCACCAACACCTGCAGAGATCGCTGCACCTACACAACTGCATTCTTCAGTGCCACTACGTTCAACTGGAATCCCGATTACATTTGATATGCGTTGAAGCAGCCAGTTTGAACGGGCTACATTACCGTTTACATAGACGACTGATGGAGAAAGACCTGGAAAAGAGGTAAAATAAGTGAATAAAGTGAACCGATTGATGTTATCTACTAGCAATCATCATAGTATTTTGACGATAGCCAACTATACTGTCCATAATTTAGATTTCCCCAACTTGAAATATAGGCTTAATCACGAACTGAAATCATCGGGATGTTATGGAGTACTGGACAGTTGTTCCGTCCTAGTTTGGGACTCATCATCAGTACTTACCATCCACCGCGGTTTGAATTCAGGACTTTCCGGTTACAAGGTAAGAGAACAGTTACTCGCCAGTGACGCTGGCTGGAGGTTGCACTATATATCGTGAATAGGCAGAAGTTGGAGTTCATGAGTCATTTGATCAGGCTGAACGGTCTACGGGCTCACCTTGTAACCGCAAGGTTCTGGATTCGAACCCTAGAGGTGTGTGTGCTGATAAAGAGTCCCAAACTAGGACGAAACAACTATCCAGTACTCCCTGGTTTTCCAATGGTTCTCTAACTGATGTCGAGTCGTCATCAAACCTGCAAACCAACACTTGAGAACTTGGAATTTGTCAACCAGTAACTATTCGAGGCTTGAATGAAGCCCTGATTGGTGAATCAGTTCGGAACTTCCACACAAACTTTGTCAGAATAGAGATATTAAAGAACTGCCATTTGTAGCCTGTTTGGATTCGATAAAGTTATTACAACTTTTTCCCTAATACAAACCTTATCGCTACAAAGTCTGGGTGTTCAACGTTTTGAAATTCTTCTTCCACAAACCAAGAAGGCAGCATAGATGGTTTCCTGCTGCTACACTTATTCGCCAGCAATATATCCTTACCCACAGACATCCACTATAGACTTAGCCGCCTACAAAATGATGGTAACTGCAACAGTATCAGAGACACTGTTACTAGTCACTGGCAGTGTTAATGATATTTCGATCCCTGAGCTATTGAAATAAGTTCAACTGAGTGATTCTGTACTTCTTTGAATAAACGTAGGTCAATAAACTCTATCCTAAACTGCCAACCTCAGGGATGATATACAGAAATATGAAAGTGTTAGTATAAATATCTTTTTTTTAAAAAGAGAAAACTTTATCTGCCTAATTTAAAGACACATTGTCACATGTTGTTATTCAAGTTCTTTGACAATGTGAAGTGCAACATAATTTTACTTTGCATGAATACTGAAATCGACAGATTATTATTGTCCTGGTATAAGCGTTTAAAATTCAGATTAGTAAGCATATCAGTGCACTGTACAATTAGCATGCATATATATATATATATAATCAATGAAATGGAGTAATGTAAATTTAAAAGACTCTGTAGTAGTAATATTAGGAGTAGTATGCATTTCTTACAGTTGTACGTCTACAGCATCTAAAAGAGCATATTCAATGGCAGGAAGCCCTGGATCTAAGTTTCAAACTTATTGTTCAATGAATAACCTTTGCTTCTATTGTCTTGTTGGTTATTTATTACGCAAAAATCACTCCCAAGTAGCTGTATAAATGATGTCATCACCTCCACTCGCATTAAATAAGGTGACTCAGTAGTCATACTTTGCTTGCCAAGGTAGTTGGGATGTGTTAACCAAACTTGACACTACTATCCTAACGAACTATGTTGGCCCTTGGAAGTGTGTGGGCGGTTGTTACTTCCCGGCTGCCCACACCGTGGAAGTTGATTGAGTCTTCGGGTACCTGAAACAGAAAGAGGGTTAGTGTTGCGTGACTGCAGAATTCAGGGGACAACTGCTTGAGGCCGGTCACACACGGCCTGTATGAACTGGTTTCTTGGATTGGTTCCGTATTAGTAAACTTACCGCCGGTTACGGACCACCGTAGGGTAAGTCGGAATGTACAGTTGTTGGGGTCGACCTTTTCTAACCCCCTCTCTCCAGAGTGGAGAGACAGCATAGCTGGCATGCTGAGCATCTGAGGGAAACACCTCACTGCCGTTACATCCCTGTTCCCCAGCAGTACGACTTCGCCCACAGACCCCCAGCATAGTGTAAAAAAATTCTTACACTAAGCCCGTAACTGCTTTAGTCTAATCGCTATCCTAACAACCTTCCTGGCATGGTAGGACCTGCGGGAACAAAAGTTCCAGCCAGTGTAGCTTGTTGGGTCATTGAGGTGTGCAAGCCCGACCACCACGTCAAAGTAGCAGCTATCGGTAAGGCAGGCTTTAGACCAGGAAGAAGGTGTATTGATCATATCTTCACCCTTCGACAGATTCTGGAACATAGGCATTCTTACCGGCGTCCAACAATCGTTATATTTCTTGACCTAAAGGCGTCATTCAATTCTGTCGACCGAGAGGTACTCTGGTGATGCTTGGCTGTAAAGGGAATGCCGAGAAAATACATTGCACTGATCAAGGCACTCTACTCGAACTCATTCAGCCAGCTGAGGGCTTACGGCGAGTTGTCATCTGAAGTGATGACAAACAGTGGTGTTAGTAAGGGATGCCCACTATCCCCTTTTCTATTCAATTTCGTCATAGACGTACTAATGGACTTAACCCTAACTCACTTCAGAGACTCAGGGATTGACTTGTTACCAGGGAATAATCTCGTTGACTTAGAATATGCAGACGATATAGTCCTTCTAGGCGAGGACGCTGACAAAATGCAGAGTCTTCTGAACACCTTGAGGAGCAGCAGTCTACGAATGTTTGGCATGCGATTCGCTCCCACCAAATGTAAGATGATGTTACAGGACTGGACTACATTGACTCCTAGCTTAGAAATAGGGAGTGAAGTGGTGAAGCATGTTGACCACTTCACTTATTTGGGAAGTTGCATCAGCCAGACCCAACGGGTTGATCGCTAACGAAATCTCGGCACGGATACAGAAGGCTAGTTTCGCATATGGCAGTTTACGCCGTCTCTGGCGTAGACGTGATATCCGGCTAACGACCAAAGGACGTGTGTACTGCTCAGCAGTCAGCTCCGTCCTCCTTTATGGCTGTGAGTGAGACGTGGCCATTGAGGATGGAAGACATGAAAAACCTGGCTAGCTGTCTTTGATCATAGGTGTCTGCCTTCTATCTCCCGTGTGAAGTGGTATAATAGGGTGAGCAATATTGAGGTTAGGCTTCGGTCGAGTGCTAGGTAAGGAGGGGAAATCAATAGACGAGGCTGTGAAGTTACATCGATTGAGATGGTTAGGACATGTGTTACGCATGCCTGCCTAGCTATCGCCTTCCTTGACGACAGGCAATGTTATCTGACATAGGGATCAGGTTGGAAAAGAGCTAGTGATGGTTAAACCGAAGCATGGCTTCATCAATCAATGAAATCCACAATAGTTAGTTTAAGGCACGTATGAAGGTGTAGACTTCCTGGTTGAGGTCCTCGGGACGGTAAACATCAGTGGCTGGAGACAATTAGTGATATGGCTCAAAATCGTTCTCAATGGCTGGTGCAGATGCATCCACTCCTTGTGACTTATAATTTCCAATGAAACTATATTGTTCTTCGATATTACTATTTTTTGCCTCATATCTCTGTTTACTGTCTCTATTTTGCGTTTCTTTTTACTTTCTTCTTCTCTGGCTTTGTGTGCTGAGTGAAGTGTGGCGACTCGAACTTGCTGCACATCGGTGCAAAGTTCTATGTTGAAAACAGACAGACAGACAATGTTGGCCGAAGTGGGGTTAGATGGAAAAAGAGTTAGCCGTGGTGCTCATACCAAAGCATGACAACGACTCATCCGGCGAATAACTAGTAGTTCGAATCAAGTAGGAAGGTGTAGGCAGATTAGTTAAAGTCCTTGAGATGCTAAGAATCAATAGTTGGAAACTTTTGATCAAATGGTTCAAATTCATTCACAACAACGGCGTCGATGTATTCACAGTATCATTACATTTATGAATAATTTTTCAAAATATGGTAACCTGAACTTAAGCATTATTGTGTAAATTCCTACGTTGACTGAATCATTAGCCAATCAACTCGACAATCACACCGGGTTGAGAAGGTAACTCAGTTGATGGAGAAACTCATTCTTAGTATATATGTAGACAGGATGAAAAGACAACTGTTCTCTTGATGGTTAATTTCCCCAATTCTAATTGAACCTTATAACTTAACAGTAAATAAACGACTATCGCGATAGGCATCCAATCGACAGAAGATGAAAACAAGTGTAAAAAATGATTGAAACAGAACAAAAGTTTACACGTGTGTGTGGATAACAAGGACAGAATTATCACACTAGAGAGAAAAACGGTAAGAGACAATAAAGTTCACAATACAGTATCGTTGTTTATATTCGACAATATTTGAGTCAAGTTAAAGATTTCCAGTGAATTACAGTTTTCACGGTTCATATAAGAACTAAGTAACTATCCAGATAGCCAAACCCCGAGATTTCGACAAAGAAAAAACTGGTAGTAGGTGTAAGATAAGCATTATTATTATTTAAACGCAGAAAAACTTGGTACAATATGGCACCAAGAAGGATGCGCCACACAATATTGTGTGAGGGCTGAGATACTGCCCGGGTGCCCAGACCGAAGCAGGTGGTTTTCTTAAGGGACCATCCCCCGAGCCTTTGACTTGGAGTCTAATCCGCAAGGCAGCGGAGCAGCGTCAGGAGTTGCGTTCCCATGAATGCCGGTGACCCATTTGATCCGATTGAATTCTGGAGCCCATGTACCCCCTGGTAACTGCTTTTAGTCTAACCGCTATCCAAACAACCTTCCTGACATGGTAGGACCTGCAGGGACATGAGTCCCAGCCAGTTTAGCTTGTTGGGTCACTGCGGCATTCAAGCCCGACCACCACGGCAAGGTAGCAGTTATCGGTCGGGAAGATAAGCAGCCATACGCTAGAAAAGTTAAGGGCTAAACCATTATCGAATAAACCAAGTTTGATGGTCACTTCTCTAGTTATTCAGAGTGCATGATATTTATGTAATCAATTCACGTGCGTGCTTTTAAAATGCACTGTTATCACACTTGTTTATTTTTGTTATTGAATGAATAGTAAATAATATATATTGCTTACAAAAGATAACACCTTGTCGTATGAATGCAGATTTCTTAGACAATCAAATATTGTGCACTAGTGGAGTATAATTACTGAACATGAATGACTTGAAGTGTTCTATCAGACAAAACTAGCAGGAGGTCAGTTACATACATTATTTGAACGAATGTGAGCCTGTTTACTTACTGACCTCAACTGGACATAACTCACATAATTGTTGTATGGCCACCTATCCTACTAGACCTGGGCCTGGACTGTAAAACTAGTTGACTCCTGGTGACGAAGCTTCTCCTAAGGCTGCCCCAACTAATGAAGGATGAATATGATACTCATTTTTGTTCTAGGATGCATTTAGGTGAGGGGATAGACAGACTTCATAAGAAGAATACAGCAACCCAGTGCAATGTAGTGACCACGCGCTGACCCATTGTCCACGACAGCCGTGTTTAATCTCAATCAGTAGAGATAAACAAACTGATTGTTGGGGATGAAATGTTTGAAGTTAAAGTGAATTCACGAATTTCTGTAATTCCCTACATGATCCATCCGTCAGACGGACATTGTTTCTAAGAGCAAGATACACAACATAATAAATATTGTTTTTAGGTCTCACGCAATTTGTATTTGTTTGCAGTCTATGATCGAAAAAACACGAAGTAGAAAACTGTAAAACAGGTGGTGAAAATTGTTCAGTTTGGTTCATTAAACAAACTAAACACTGACGACACAGACGTCTAAAAAATTCCACTCACCTGTTTGTTTACGACAATTTTCCAACATAAATCTCGTAGTGAATGCTATTGACTCGACTACAACGCGAGCAATAAGCAGTCTATCACGAGACTTTGAACAATCCATGCCGATAATAATGCCACCTGGTCCATGAATTGATATCTTATTAGATTTAAACGGTCCTTTCGAAAGTATATTTTTTTGTTGTTTAAGTGAATCCATAGGTGATGGGATGTAAAATATATTTTCAAGAGTGGCTTTTTCATCTAAACCTGTAAGATAAATAACAACAACAAAGTATTAAAAGAAAGTGGGTTAACTCTTCAAAATATTAGATATTTCAAAGTTTGATCACGGATTGATATCAATTACAGAACTATTGAAAGGCAGGAAGTCCTTGTTTTGGGACTCTTCAGTAGTACGCACTTGCGACTTCATCGTGGATCAAACCCAGGACCTTCAGGCTAAGAGGAAAGCTTGTTGACCGTTCTGCCACTGGGAAGAAATCCAATGGCCCACCAATCAATTCTGACCCCTATCAATTTGTGATTTTTAGCTTCACCACCAGACAGTGTTATCGATGAGTATTTGGTCCTCACACTCGACCTGGTGGACGCCATTGGTCACGACTTCTCGCTAAAACTCCAGGCAACTTCGTCCTGCATCCAGAGGGGTCATGGGTGTGCATACTGATGGACATTCCCAAACTAGAACAAACCAGCTGTCCAGTACTTTCTGGTTTTCAGTAATCACTCTAACTGACATCAATCCATGGTCGAACTTGAGACCAATCAAATCCCTGCAAACTACCATTTGAATATTGGATATCCCCAATGTCAGAGTCAAAACAAGACACATCATAAACAGGCAATATTGTTTTCAACTAGATCTTCTCCAGGCTTTACTCTAACGTACATAGCTTTCTATATAAAGCATTAAGCAGGAGTGATAAGACATTCATCTAAATTCTGATTATCTATTCATTTCATCTCTAATATTACATAACCTATAATTTCAGAAATTTCTATCTGATTTGATTTTTGAAATTTTTACATTATCATGTGATCTCCACTGTTCTTATCGCCATCTGCGTTCACCATTTGTAATTTGGTTATCACTGACATCATTATTGTTACTGCCTAATTTACATTATTTAACACTTATATTTGATCTACGAATTCACCATCATTTGGTTAAAACTGTATGGTCAAGTTAAAGAATAACGATCCAGGAGTGCGTATGCACCAATAAACTTGAATGCATACTGTTAACTGGTTAACGGGATCTATCATTATTATAGCGCCACTATGAACGCTGTACACGAGTTGAGGTTCAAACTTCATCCAGATCTCGTCTTTGGACAGTTGATTGACAGCTCTTCAGGGTTACAATTAGGGTTAAGATAAGGATTAGAGTTTGGGTTAGGATTACAGTTACCACTAGAGTTAGGGTTAGGAGTAATTCTAACCTTAGAATTAGAGTTAAGGTTAGGATCAGGGTTAGAATGTTTTATTTTCACTACCTTTGTTTGTTTTTTCAAGAAGATTCTAAAAGATCTGGATTTCGCAAATGATTTATGTCTAGTGTCACACAAACTCGAAGACTTACAGGCAAAAAACCAACGAATTGGCTAAAGAAGCAGCGAAGACAGGATTCCGGATGGACATAGAGAAGACGGAGGTGATAAAGATAACCGCGAACCAACAGCAACAACAACCAGCACCAATCACCACCAACGGAAGAGATTTGACAGGAGTTAATTCACGTATCTAGGCAGCCAGCACTGTTTCAACCACAGGCCAGTGGAACGGCTGAAGATGTCAAAGTTGGCCAGAATCGGAAAGGCGAGATACGTCTTCAACAACCTGAAATCAGTTTGGAAGTCTTCTGCAATAACTCAGCATAAAGAACAAGACTAGGATTTTCAAAACAAATGTGAAGTCAGTCCTTCTATACAGGTCAGAAACATGGCGATTGCGTCACGAAAAGGATTTCCACCAAGTTACAGACTTTTATCAACAGCTGCCTCCTTAGCTGGCTGCATATTGAAGATCAAATGGCCAACCGGCCAGAAAGAATTAGCAACAAGAAACTCTGGCTGAGAACAAACTAACCAAAAGCTGATCGCTCAACAAATATGTAGGAGAAAATGGAGATGGGTCGGGCTTACGTTGAGGAGGCCGCCGGAGGACATCGCGCGCCAGGCCATCGCTCAAGTGGAATCCTAGTGGGAAGCGACAGGTGGGTCGTCCGAGGGTGACATAGAGAAGATCGTGAGAGGAGAAGATGAGAGATTATGGTCAATCGTAGACCCAGGTGAAGAGGACAGCACCGAATAGAACAAAGTGGAGATGTGTTGTTGAAGCCGTATGCTCCACTCGGAACCTAAGGGAATAATAACAATAATCTTTGTTTTTCCGGTAAATAAACAGCATTTTTATGTAAAAGAAAACAAATACCGGTTATTCTAACTGGTCGCCTCAAGGTCAGTCGTGCATTCGCATTCCTTGGATCGCTACTCTTTGACTTTGCCCGATTGTATATATAAAGCTGTGTACTTTAGAGCAAAACCTAAGGAAGATCTAATTGAAGACAATGTTGTTTGCTAAAATATCTCGTTTTAATTAACTTTCTACCAAAATATCTGACACAAAAGAAAAGGTAACTGTCTTTACAAGATATATCACCACATGCTTCAGCTTTCATCGTACATTGAATATGGTATTCTATAAGACCTGTATGGGTATCATATCAAGATGACCATGAGCATAAGATGACTGATTAGTAAATTGAATGAAGCAGTGAAATGTTCTCTCAGTCTACTATAAGTAGACTTGTACTAAAACTACTCACAAAAGTATAGAAAAGCGTCATTATTTCACTATTTTACACTAAAACGTTTCCACCGAAAAAACAGAAGATGAATAGTCATTAAACTAATAAATAAGTCTATTCATTTAAATGTGAAAAGAAACAGGACTAGAGAGCTCACTTATACAGAATTTGTACAGCTCAAAAAATCATTGTTTATTTCTTAGAGGTGACCGAATTCTGACGGTCAAGTTTGTAGTACACTTTGAACTAGTTCTGAGTGCTTTAAAGGTGGTCGGCAGGATATAAGCATAAAAATTGGGCACTTTGGTAGAGTATAACTCCATTATGGATAAAAAATTTTATTTTGATAAAATCACACAGTGTTGTACAGTAATATTTACTGATGACGTTTCGAGCACAAATTACTACTCAATCATATCAAGGCACTCACACAACTTTGTTGCTTCATTTATAAACATGAGTGGAAATTGATTAGACATTTGAATAAAAATCAATATAAGATAAAGTACATTCGGAAATAATATTAATGTCATCAATAAAATACAATCAGATGGGAAATAAGATTTTTTTAATGGGAAAAATAAGTAACTTGTTAGAATGTGAATGAAATACATTTTAACATTATTTATTATCCTCTAGTTTGACTGGTAATAATATCTTGCATATCTCTGCTATTTGTGTTGAGTCACTTCTATTGCATATGTTGGGTGTAGAATCGATGAACCAGGATTCTGTAATCAACCTCTCTCTCCAACTGCTTATATTACTTTTCAGAATTTCGACTCTGTCCTGCCCTATTGTGTAGTTGTGTGTTAATGTATGCAGTGCAATTGCTGAGTTTTTTTTCTAAATTATTTATCTTCTTGAGATCAATCATTCTAATCTTAGCTAAAATCTTGTGTTCTGATAATCTCACCACTCCTGATCTACTAGTTTGACCGATGTATTTGACTTAACTAACAGTCATTACAAGGTATTTTGTTTAATTGAGTCCACCGGGTCCCTTAGCCTACAGAGCTTGTCTCTTATTTCCCAACTGATTGTATTTTATCTTATACTGATTTTATGCAAATGTCTAATCCATTTTTACCCATGTAAATAAATGAAGCAACAAAGTTGTGTGAGTGCCTTGGCATGATTGAGTAATAATTTGTGCTCGAAACGTCATCAGTAAATATTACTGTACAACAACACTGTGTGATTTTATCAAAATAAAATTTTATCTATAATGGACGCCAGGATGTTCGACATTTTAATGTTTTTTGTAGCCTACTGGCAAAGAGTATTCACAACCAATAAAGAACAAATGACCCATCAGAAATTCGAATCTATACTGTAGTCAAAGCCGTTACCATCAAGTTAACCAGTCAGTAATTGACATTTTTACAATTGTATTGGATAGATTAATCGGTTATGCTTTCCAGCTTTTAATCCTGACAGAATTTATACAGACCAACTAGTGAAACAGTAGTTAAAATTAACTGAGAGAATTTAATCTGATAACGCATTAGGACGGGACTTTGTTCATTTTGAAAATAAAATACACCCTTTAATCCAGAAATTGTAATCAGTAATAACGTGTAAATATCACTACTCTTAGAAATAAACACCTTCGATTCAAAGACCACAACATGCAGAACGTGACAAAACACGTTAACAAGAAAAAAACAGCTAATAACTACATGTCTACAACTTTACGATAGCCTAGTAAATTCAGCATTGAGTGAATTTTGAATCTCAAATGCCTAATCTTACCAAACTTGCATATATGCCGGGCTAATGAGTGCCAAAAAGGACAAAACTTCAGAATGATAAATTTTGAACAGTACGCATAAGACCAGATTCGCCTTGTAACCATAAGGCCCTGGGTTCGAACCCTGGCGGTGGGTGCATACTGATTGAAGAGTCTCAAACTGGGACGGAACGGTTGGCTGTGCAGTACTCGCTGCAGGTTTTTCAAGAGTTCTCTAACCGATGACAGCTCATGATGAAATCCTGTAACTAGATTATTCAGTTGGTTGTCATCGTCGACTAAATTGTCTAAGGCATACTGTATCAAAATTCCAACGCGAGAGCGCTAAGCAAGTATGCCCATATAAATAAGACGCTTAAATGAACAAATTTATCTCTTATTTATAAATGAACGAACGCTTTACAAAAAAATGAAACTTGCCAAGATGATCACCTTCTAAAAGCATTTCCTCCAAGTCAGAATATTTAAGGAAGACTTCTGAAAAGAAAATGATATAGACTGTTTAAAGCATGAAGAAAAAATAAAATAAATTATTATTTATGAATAAAATAAAAGACAATTCAAAGACAAGCTCGTATACCATTCAGCCACTGGGGACCAATTCAATGGCCCATGAATTCTAACTTCTACCAATTCGTGATTTAGCGCGACCCCAACCATTGTCGTAGGTGGGACATCCATCCTGACAAAACTAACCCTTACAAACCAAACTATAGAAAATTAATCTGATGCTCGCTAGTGACTTGCTACAGGATGGAGTTTCCTGGAGTTCTAGTGAGAAGTCGTGACCAGTGAGGTTCATCCAGATGTCACGTGTGAGGATGGATGTCCCACCTACGACAATGGTTGGGGTCGCGCTAAATCACGAATTGGTAGAAGTTAGAATTCATGAGCCATTGAATTGGGTCTCAGTGGCTGAATGGTATACGAGCTTGCCTTGTAACCGGAAGGTCCTGGGTTCGAACCCTCTGTGGTGGGTGCGTACTGCCGATGATTCCCAAACTAGGATGAAACAGCTGTCCAGTACTCCCTAGTTTTTCATGGTTCTCTAACTGATATCAATCCATGATCAACTCGTAAAAACAAAACTAACCCCTTACGAACCAAACTATACACAATCCAAAGAGGAAAATTTTCCCCGTCGACGGCATCGTTCGTACAACCTTCTCAGGTAAAACAAGAAGTCATTTCAAAAGGCTTTATGCACGTACGTCTAAGTATAAAAATTCCACGATACTATATTTGGCACGTATTTTATGTGATGAAAATAGTGTCAGGGACGAACTAACTAACCTTCTTTGCACTAGTAAATAAAAAATTTTCTCCACCCTTATAACATCACGCCTTAGTGTTATTATGCCTCTTATATTTATAATCCTCTCATTTTTTGCTTATTCTCTCATAAGTGTAAACATCATTTAAGCTCTGTAATAATTGTTATTTTTTGTTTTTCCCTTCATCAATAGAACATTGGATTTTATACTCTACAACATGCTATAATTTCCACACTGTATCGACAATATTGTTTGAAACAAACCCACTGTTATTATTATTATTATTTAAGTTATTATTCTCATTTTGTACTTTGCACATTTTGACTTTATTTCTACCGTAAATGTGGACAATTTCCTGTGGTTAATTTTATTTGTATTTTGAGTAAATTAGATGCAATATTGTGACAAACGCTGAGAATCCCATTCTGTATTATAAATACTGCTTTTGGAATAAAGCAGATTATTATTATTATTGTTAGAATAATGTTACACAATATTGTCTCATGACCCCCAAGTACTGATGGCATACTACTAAATCATACAGTATGCACACACTATCATTACATACTTTCCAATATTGAATATTTGCAGAAAAGCAAGACCTTGAAGTTATGTTGGTAAACAATATTTATCTATAGCCAAAAGGATGCTGATACCTTTAAGAGTAGTAAATGTGACTGGAGTGCTAAATGATACTGATCCGAACAGAGGAAGTATGGCGTGATATAGATTGATAGGAAGCGGTAAAAAAAATGCAACCAACATTTTAAGTTAATGGCTGCAGAGGCAGAAGTGTCTATTCCTCAAATCTAGATTTAGTTTACATTGTAGACATGAAATTACCCCCATTGGACAACGCGTTTAACCTTGGACCAGTTGCTGACCAATCAGGACAACCTTTTCTCCTCTAATCTAACAAATCTTTAATGTGGCTAATAAAGCATAAATATGATTTATTTTCTAATAAATGTCCGTTACCCATTCTCTTAACTTCTAACATTACAAAAGCGCCGTGAGAGTTTTTAAAATTTATTGCCAGTACACAAGGAACTTTTATCCACACCTTACATCTTATTATATGCAAACATAAAGGGATAAGTTATTCGTCAATGTCCTAGAGCTAATTACAGTTGGATGCATTTGAAAGAATCCATTATATATTTTCACTCCTATCATCTACTGAAGAAGGTTGGAAGAAATCATGCTAAATGGATAGAGAAAGTTAAGTCGGTGACTATCGATCTAAGCTGCATGGAAGATAAGACTAAGTATTTCATGATGACATAAATACGTTCCAGAAATGTTAAACACTTTGTTATCTGATGAATTTTACTTTTTCCCCCAATTATTCATCATCTTTTCATGTGATATTTCTAACCGCTCCCTATTTCTCCTTGTTGTCTAACTTATAAACTTTAAAATTGTTTATTTTGACCACAGATTAATGTCAGTTAGAGAGCTATTAAAAGCTTGGGAGTACTGGTCAATCAGCTTTGCCTCGTAACCTGAAGGTCCCAGGTTCGATCCCTGGTGGGGTCTTAGGTACGTACTTCTGAGGAGCCCCAAAATGGAACGAGACAGTTGTCCACTGTTCCCTGGTTTTCACTGGTTCTCTAACTGATATCAATCCGTGAACAAACCTGAAACAAATAAAACTCCTACGAACTATCTCCTGAATATTATAAAAATACTTAGAATAATTCCAACGTGTTCAGAAAATCAAAACAAGATTATTTTAACGTTTCACTGTGTAAACCACAGCCTTTTAAACAGAATGTTGACTCGGATTTTATTAACATCAAAGTATGTGGTTTAATAGTTCTGCTGAAGAAGCTATGGCCCACAAAGCGAAACGTTTAGAAAAATCTTGTTTTTACTTTTTAAACATACTAGGATTGTTTGAAGCAAATTTATTGATAATTCAATTTGACTTAGTGCTCAAATTATTCCAGAAAATTCGCAACATCTATAGTATACGTGTTTATGCTATGTATATATTCACCTCTAGTGTTGTCTACTCTTGAGTACAGAATGCCACTAGGTGTATCAGATTGCTCTAGGAAAAAAAATTAGGAAAGAACACAAAGTCCACCTACCTTCTGATTGTAACCAATCAATAAGAGTACCGGTATTTGGATGAAAACATTCAACTAAATAAGTAAGACTATTAAGTTGAATAGATTTTGATGTAGACGGTAAAGATGATGAAGATAGTGAAGAAGAACTCTTGGCAGAACTTGTTTCACAACTTTGAAACCCATCATTATATGCATAACCAGATGCCCATCCAATAACAGGATAAAAGCCTACAAAACAACAAAAGTGACATAGTGTTCAGCATTGTAGAAAATATGAAAGCGAAATAGTAAAGTACAAGTAGGTGACTTTCAGTGGTGGTTTTAATACTCCTCACGAATTAACAGTATAAAATGAATTCAGTTTATTTGCTGCCTTATATCCACTCAACAATCACAAATACGTAGAATTATTTCAAGAATAAATTAAGAAGTGTACTTTTATGGTGCTGTGGCGCATCACCAAAAGCATTTTCAACTGGCTACTGCAGAATTTTATCAACAACTGCCTTCGCTCCATAGTGAAGATTAGATGGTCACTCAAAAAGGATTTTTATTTATTCGCCTAAAACACAAACTTGGTACAATATGGACACCAGTCAGAAAGAATTGGTAACAAGGAACTCTAACTACAAACCAACCAAGAATCTATAGCTCAAAAAATATGCTGAGGGAAGTGGTGATGGATTCGACACTTGCTGAGAAGACTGTCGAGTGAAATCACGCACCAGGCCCTCAAGTGGAGCATGAATAGGAAACAACGAGTTAGACATCCTAGAATGATACAGAGAAGATCGTGTGAGGAGGGAATGAAAGCTTATGGGTAGTCGTGGAGCCGGATAAAAAGCACTGCAGAAACGTGCTACTGTTCCACTAGGAACCCAAGGTTATAATAATAATTATATACTTCCATGGTCGAACATAAACGAAAAAGTGCATATATAAATTAGGTAAGCCCCAAACACGAAATGGATATTGAATCCAATTGTTTGATCTCAAACCCTTTAGAAAGTATTGGAATGAAAAGGTGAGAATTCACTTCACTTTCAATTCATCACATGTGTCAATAAGTATAGTGAGTCAACAAGTGTAGTTGCACGAGATGTTGGATCGGAATTGGTTCACTCATTTCTCACAGAGACATTATTCAAGTTGTACAGAAAAGTGATGGATTACGTGTTAGCAAGATCTATTAATCTTCGGGTTTTTTCCTCCTTTGTGAGATATGATCTTCCTTGAATGTAAATTAGGCGAACACATACTTTTTTTTGACGGAATCCTGTGATCATTCCATTAAATCTGCAACCCAATTTTTTAGAGAAAATCAAAAGCATTCAAATAGGCGACTAAGAAATAGTGGTATTTTTCGATGTCACAGCATTATATACATCGATTGGAAAGAAACTGGAAAAAGAAACCGTGGAGTGATTACTCAGCAACTACGAACACCTCCAACAACAATACTCAAGTCGGATGCAATGCATAAACCTATTTCTAACAACGTATTTTCAATTCAACGGCCAAATATATCAACAAATTAAAGAGATGCCTATGGTATCACCCATATCAGGTCTAATTGCAGATGCGAAGGCTTGAAAATATAATTCTACCAAAGATCAAACCCCAAATTTGGATGCGTTACATGGATAACACATTCGTGATAACGAATTAATAAACTCAACTTAATAAACGACATCTTCAACGACATCAAATTCATATCAGAAGAGGAATTCGAAGATAAAATTCCAGTTTTAGACGTCTTGGTCAAGCGAACAACCAAAGGAAAATTTGAAACATAAGTATGCAGAAAATTAACTCGCATATCATATATTCAGTTATAACAGGGACAACCCAATAACACACAAACAGAGTTGCATACAAACATTATTCAGGAGAGCCAGGGCGAATTGCAGCACTCCTAACTTGAGGAAAATGGAAGAAAATACCTTTTGACAGTCTTCCAAAATAATGGATATCCACCAAAGAAATCTACCCTCAACTCAACCAACCAAACTAAAAGTATCCAATGAAAGCACACATAAAATTGTCCTGTCATATATAGAGAACATCTCCGGCTATCTAAACCTTTTGGAATTGATGTTGCACACAAACCAACAAAATCACTTCACTAGGCTCTATGTCAACCAAAAGATTCAACAGCAAAAGAAAATAAAACTAATACCATTTACAAGACAAGAAAACATTACATTGGTCAAAGTGAACGCCCTCTTCGTCTTCGCATTCAGGATTACAAACACTAGCTGTCATACAGACAACCACGGACACCAATTCGATTGGGATAGTGTTCAAATCTTAGGCAGAGGAAACACCAAAAACGCCAGAAAATTTCTAGAAGCCTGGTATTCAAGTGAATCGGTAATCAATAAACACATCAACATAGACAAGATTTACTAATTCATAAGAAAAAAATCACATGAACAAAAGGTCAAAATACAGGACAATGAAGACAATCAATATCAATACAAGTAGACTAGAGGGTGAGAAAAAACACACAAAAAACAACCAATCACGTTCAAGGTTACCAGGATAGATGACTAAACTCGTGGAGAAATGTAAAAGCTCAATTCAAATCGAAGTACGCGCTGAGGATGTTGCCTCGTGAAGCAAGGAAAGCTTCGCAGCTACGCCATCCAGCTCGGAGAACACAACTACACCAAAAACATACTTTTTTATGCCCAGTATCTCTGGTTCAGTAACATGATTTAAAAATATTTCCAAATAATCTGTTCTATGTACATATATCCTGAAACACTTCGAGTAGAAACAATTGCTAGTCGAATTCGTCTTTTGGAAATAACTTTCTTGATAATAGTGCCTCATGCCATGCGCTGGAAAAAAAGCTGTTGTAGGTCAAATACGGGCCAGTAAGACAGTTTATTCTTCCTACTTTGCAGTATTAGCTATGATTCAGAGAACTAAAAAGTTCTCATGTAATTATTCTATAACACAACTAATCGTCACAAGAAGCCACAAATTTCGGTTAACTATCCCCCTATATTTAGACCTTGTGAAAACAGAACCTGGGTACACTGTTGCATAAAAAGAAAAAGTCAGTGCTTTTTGTGTTACCATATAATGAAGAATGAATTCACCAAAATACACGAAAGACGCTGAATGCATCAAAAATGGGCGTGACGGAATCAAATTACAAACAAACAAGAATAATTAGTTGATTGATTGTTATTCACATGTGCAGCGTGCACACATCTGCAATGCTCTGTGTATATATTCACCTTAAGGATTAAAACGACTAACAGAATTTGAATAAGGCATTTAGAAGACAAATTTCGTGAGATGAAATGATTTCGTAGTTGCTTTACAACTAACATGGTTCACAATAATAAAATAAAATGCATGACAATTACTCAGTTATATAAAACAAAAGTACATACTAATGACCAATCATACTTAAATAGGTCAAGTAGACCATGGTAGGCGAAGGTTGAAGTCTATTGTCTTTTGTATACACATAGTTTAGGGTGCATGTGATTAATCCCCCAAAGTGCTGCTATCACCTTCAATAACCAACCTTGAATTAGAGTTATGTGAAATAATTGTGAAGCAGTCATTATTATTGATTTTGTGACCTGACATTAATAAGTGCTTTGCAATGGATGATGATGGATTTCTGTTCAGATTGATTGCATTGGGATTGTCGATGTGTCTCAATAACCACTTTGGAACATGCTCTTTTCGACGACATTGGAACATTCTATTGGTTCTACCTATATAGGTGTCACCACAATTGCAGGTGAACTTGTAGATATAGTTTGAAGTAGAGTCCACAGAATTTTGTCCTTTAGTCGTAGTTACAGGGATAGAAAATGTTCGAGATGTGAGGGAAAGAGATGCGGCGTAGAATGTGCACTAGGTGGTTGACCGAAGTCTTTGAGCTAGCTGTCAACTGCATAATTTGATCACCTTTGAATGGTAGTGTGACAACAGGAGGCAAGACACGGAAGCCAAGGTGTATTTTCAAGTGATCAAACAGCTGTTTATATATATACAGTTTATATTCTTTAACCAATCACTGGGCGTGTGATTTTCATTTACATTAAACAACATGAAATAGAATGTTCAAATAGATATATTAGTATTGTGTTGCTTATGCTGAATGGAACTAAGGGAATATGTGAGAATAATATTCCGTTGGCACACATTGTCTCTATCATACCACCACAGTAGTACCTTTGTTTTATATAGCTGAGTAATTGTCATGCATTTTATTTTATTATTGTGAACCATGTTAGTTGTAAAGCAATTGTAAAGAAACTACGAAGTGATATCATCTCGCGAAATTTGTCTTCTAAATGCCTCATTCAAATTTATTTTTGACTTGATTCTCACTTCTAGCAGATAAACTTTAGCCAGTTTCAGAAGTAAAACTTGAACTAACCAATTTCATCCTTCATCTGGGGTTTATTCAAGACTACTGTGAATCGCAGTAAGTAATTTTTATTTTACAGTCTATGTGTTTGCTTATTATTACTGGATGGTGAGAATAGTCACTCTATTTCTCAAGACTGAATAGGAAAATGTAATAGGAAGCATACTCAGATATCATACCTATGTTTAGACAGGGAAAGCAGTCAAGTAGTCCATGGTAGGCGAAGGTTGAAGAGCTCAGAAATAAACGAATTTTTTCAAGATTGAACTTGAAAACTTGTAAACAACGTTTTGTTGACTCATTGCATTGTATAAATATAGTCTAACTGAGCTCTCTAGGCCTTTTTTTCTGTTTTGCTCATACCCTTGGGAATCAGGAAATGTGAAAGTTAAATAACTTTCGTCAGTAGCCTATTTTATGGCATTTTTTATTCGTACAAGAATATATGAGTACCAGTAAAATATTTCTTACAGTCCTCTAACCAACGCAATTTGAGTACAGTTAATTGTTGAGCCGGATATGAGAGTGGATAAGTTTAACAGTGCTCATTTTGGACAAGTTATTTCAGCTTTCAGTGACTTAGAGAGATGAAAATTTTCATCAATATATACGTACACATGTATAGAATGATTGATTACTGTAAGCCACAACATTAGCCACCATTAGTGGTAGTGGATATAAACGAAGGTGGAGGAGACAGTATACAACAACAGTCAGATTATTTATTTATTAAGAATAATAATTCGTATAAATCCCTTGAAATGTATGGAAGATGATTAAACGATTAGAATTTTGAAATGTGACTATATGACTAAATATTCAACTGTTTGAAGAGTCATCGCAGACACGGTCACAAGATTCTCAGTTTATAGAATAGAAATAAATGGACAAAAGATCTACTTTTGTATTACACATGTATAGATGCTGTAAATATGATAAGATTTTTTGAATTTGAACGTAAAACGAATTGACACTTACTGAACACATACACTGGTATGGAATGTAATCTTTACTTGTTTGATATTCACTGTTATCGAGTGAAATATAGTACAAGAAATGTCACAAAAAAATCTAATCAAGTGTGCCTTTCTAGAACATGTTTTGACAAAGAAAAAGTAATTCCATATTAGATAAGTTTATTTTCAAATATCCCACAGCGATGCAGTACTAACAACCAAATGACTTTTTGAGCATAAATTATTGCTCACAATCATATCACGCACACTGTACAGTCAAGTGTTCCTTTTTAGTCACTATATTTAAGATGTACTACAGCAGTTCATAGTCTGTCAGATAAAACAATCGAAAGATTAGTTTTCCTTGCTTTCTTTTCTTTAAACTATAGAAAATCGATACGTAAAATGGAGTTTTGACAAAAATAACTTAATTAGTAGGCAGTGATACATTTATTTTGATTGAACACTAGTCAGTAACTAGTGTAATGTGTTTGGCTAGTCCTATCTTTTGGCGTAGACTGAATTCTACCAGTCAGGTTTGCAATGTGGCCACCATACTAGGTGGAAGTGTAACGGTAGAAGACGAGAGACTTGGTAAGGGAATATTTATTTGCAATTTGGTATCTCTATATAGCCAAATTATGTACACCTTATCTTCAAATCACCATTTGAACAGATCTTCCGTGTTGTGCTACTTCTGGCCTTCATATTGTATTTCTTTGTGTTCCTTTCATGTCTCGCATATATCTCCGCAAAGCTGTATCATTTGCTTTCTCTGAAATCAAATGTATTTCCCTGCCATTTGATGTTTTTATGCCGATGAACGTCTCTTTATATACTACTGATAGATCTCATCAGTAGCACACACCACAGAAGTATATTGCAAACTTGACTGATAGAATTCAGTCGCCACCAAACAAAGGACTAGACACATTACACTAGTTACTGACTAGTGTCCAATACAGTCCTAGAGGAGGTGAATCACGAGCCCGAATGGCTCAGTGATAACGTCTCTGACTGCAGCACTGGATGACACGGGTTCGAGTCTCAGAAAGGATATGAGTTCCTTCAAGGCTGCAGATACGCCTTGCTAACGAGTTCCAATTAGCACGAGACCTCGGTACAAGGCTTCTCCATCTAATACCAACAGTGATATAAAAATCTATTCAGTATGTGCTACTTCCAGATAAATTCATACATTCAAAGTTAACAGCGGTAATTCATCTAGGTTAAGAATACGCATCTTAGTGTTGTGTTATCTGAGTCGGATAATTTAATTACAAGGATTTCATTGTACTTCTGGACAACTTCTACGCCAACTTCAATACGAAACTTTCACGGGTCAATGAAGAAAAGACACCAAATTAATCAATGGGTATGATTTGTATACCTACGATTCAGGCCACACACTGCATATGTTATTTATTTTACAAAAACAGTTGAAAAGGAGATATGACTCAGATATAATATATTGAAATAAAATTTTACCTACCATTCACTACGGGTAGAGCTTTAGAACCAGAATTTAAATTCAAAAAGCTTCCAGTGCCTAAAGTAATCTTAGCTTGACAAGGAGATAAACAATTTTCAGTTAATGTGGCCGCTTGAGCATCACCAATAATACCAGTGATTGGAATAGCTAATGACGGATTTGACGAATTTCCAAGAGGACCATGTCGAACAGTTCCATAATAATAACTGAAAGAGAACAAGAATAAACTCAATACAATTGTAGTATTGAATAGCATTTGTTATTTGGGCTAAACCACCCCAGGAAAATAATCGAACGACATGAAAAACTGAATCATATGAATGACTCACAACACAGAGTGATTTAACAGTGTTATAGTGATTTGTATAATTCGTGGTGTAAGAGTTTTCACCAATACCTCGGATTGGAATTTACAATGCAATGGTAAATAGTCAAATGCTTGAACTAATGAGAGCAGCTGGTTAGTAACTAAGCCATTCACGATACCCATGATTGACAGACACAAAACTACCAGAGAAGCTTTGACAAAATAACGTAAGACCACTTAGAAAGTACATCAGTTCAAATCACTTTAGATATATTCCCTGTAATTTTACACTGTACAATAGACGAAATGGAGATAGAGTTGTGTACTGGCGATTAAGCTGTTTATAAAATTGGTTATTTAAGTTAAGCAGTAGTTCATCACTTTCTGTTTCATTGCATTTCTTTTCTCTACTACTGTGTGTGCTTTTACGAACTGCAATACCGTTGAACACAGTTTTACGTTAACAGTTCGGTTCATCACTTGGCCAAGTTAAACTTTAAGCACCACTAACTAACAATGGAGTACGTCCGCACCATTGACCTTGAATGGTCCAATGAGATTTATCCACGTGAGTTGAAGCTTCTATTCCGCTTGATTCAAGTCAAATGCCTACTCTAACACAGTTGCGTTTGCAATTTGGTGAGGATCAAGTCTTTCAGTATTGCTTAGATGTGGGGTTGATTAGGAAAGAAAGGATTTGTTCATGTGGAGGTGTGGTGACCATAAAAAGCTTCAGTAGGTCGGTTTATGGACTTGTGCGTTGTTATGCAATTTGTTTGAGACAAGTTAGTGTCAGGGAAGATAAGCTGATGATTCTAATATTTCGTAGGAACATATGATACCTCTCTACAGAAAGGATTCGTCGAGAGGATAGCAGATAGAAAGTTAAGTACTTTATTACTTATTATTACTCGACTGGTGAAATAAGCATCTATAATATACACAGATGAGTGGAAAGGTTATAACTCCTTGTCATCCCTTGGATATATTCACCATAGAGTCAACCACTCCCATTACAGGGACCCACACCAATTCCATCATAGGCTTTTGGGAAAGGTTAAAAACCAGGATTAGAGACATTAATGGATTGTAAAGCGATGTCATTTATAGTCACATAGATGAATACATATGTACAGGATGTGGTGTAACTTTTCCTTTGATACTCCTTTGCTAAACTGGGAGATGTTTTTATCACATGTGAAAGGTATTCTATGTAACGCTTTTATACAATTTTCATGCATTTTCCATACAAAAAATGCCTCCATGTGATTGGTGCGTTCAAGGTCATTCACCGATTGGTAGTTAGTGGTGCTTAAAGTTTAACCCTGACGGATTAGAAGGATAAACTACTTTTGGTTCATATGATATGGCACTTTTAAATGGACGAGTGTATTTCATTTGAAAAAATAGGAAACAAAACCCTGCATAAAATAATTAACAGTAGTAATAATGACTCTATTCCAAACGGTATTTTCGATACAGTGTAGAATTCCCAGAATGTAGTACAGTATTGTATCTAATTTTACCTTTACATTAAATTGCATAGTAGGGAGTAGAACAATTACATAACCTTTTTGACATTTATGGTAGTAGTAATAATAATAACAGCTTTTAATCATAAATAGACCTGTTATTAAACTTTCAAGGCTCAAATTAATAATAATAATAACAGTGAATTTTTTAATTATACTCTAGGAGCAGTCAGCTTTGTTACCTAACTAGTGGTGTTTAGATAACAGCGAAAACGTAAGATTTTCAAACCTTAGAGGTTAATTGGCAAACATAGAGAACAGCGACTACGCAGTGCGAACTCATCAATAACCCTGAACGCCTACCATTCGTTGGCTTACAGAATCTGCAGTGTATTCTACATGGAAAAGCCGTTTATTTAGGAGAAAAATTAATAAAATAATAGTGAAACACATTTAAGACGATTATTATTATTCCCTTGCGTTCCGAGTGAGACATAGGGCTTTCACAACACATCTCCACTTCGTTCTCTTTTCTGCTGTCCTCTTCAGCCGGGTCCACGATTGACCAAACTCTCTCATCTCTTCCTCACACGATCTCCTCCATGTCACCCTTGTAGTGATGACCCACTCGTCGCTTCCCATTTGGATTCCACTCGAGCGATGGCCTGGAGTGCGATGTCATTCGGCGGCCTCCTCAATGTATGCCCGATCCATCTCCACTTTCTCCTACATATTTGTTGAGCGATCGGCTCTTGGTTGGTTTCTCCCCATAGTTTCTTGTTGCTTATTCTTTCTGGCCATTTGATCTTCAGTATGGAGCCAGTGAAGGCAGCTGTTCATGAAAGTCTGCAACCTGTTGGAAATCTTTTTCGTGACACTCAGTGCAAGTTTCTGACCCGTATACAAGAAGTGACTGACTTCACATTGGTGTTGAAAATGCAAATCTTGTTCTTTATGCTGAGTGAGAGCAGGAGATTTCCAAATTGGTTTCAGGTTGTTGAAGACGTATCTTGCCTTTCCGATTCTGACTTTAACGATATTTTACCTTGAAGTAACTGAAAAATTCTTCCCAGTATCCGTTTTCAACTTTCATAGCTATCAAAACAGTTTCATGGATATGAACAAGGAAATATACTCTATTTCCATATATTTATTTACAAGAAATATACAGACAATAATGAAAACACCCTAACCCTAATCCTAGCCACAACTCTGACCTTAATACTGATCCTAACCCTAACGTACTATCAACCCAGTGTCTAAACAGTACTTAAAAATGATATCAGGATAAAATTTGCACCTCAATTCGTGCACAGAGTTCATACTGGCGCTTTAATAACGGCAGGTTCTGTAGTCCAACGAATGATATGCGCTGAAGGTCATTGGTGCGTTCGCACACTATGGTCGCCATTCTTTAGGGTTGGCTGTTAGGCGAAACATGTTTCTTGTTACCAGTTATATTTGAATTTAATTGATTTTCGTAGAAGAAATTCAACAGATCTACTGACATACTTTACTGACAAATAAGATGTTAGACAAAACATGACTCAGCACATCCAGTTAATTTGCTCTCACTATACAGATTTTACTCAGACAAAAGAAACAATAGAGAACACAGACTAAGATGGTCACTTAAGCTTGGACATTTGGCACAATTTTTACGTCTGATGATAAGGCTTATCATATTTGAAATAAGATCGATAAGAAGTATAAAATATACATGAAAAAAGCAATGTATTAAAAGAGTTTAAAAATAATAAACAGCATTAGAAAATGATAGAGTGATAATACTATTATTATTATTTGTGGCAGGTTTCTGATGGCGCTATTAAGTCCTTCATTTTTGTATATACTAACCAACTAGGTTATCCTTTTCAGAGCTGTGGTTAACTGTTTTGGTCGTTTAACTTTTAAAAAATAGAATAATAGGATTCCAGTCCTGATTTATGTATCAAAGTCTTTGCAATTTGATAAATATGGTTTACACCTTCAAAATAATTTTGATCGCGAACTGACTTCAGTCACAGAATTGTTGAAAACCAGGGAGTGTTGGACAGCTGTTTCGTCTTTGTTTTGAGACTATCCAGGAGTACGCATTCAGAGATCGAATCCAGAACCTTCAAGTTAAAAGGCGAACTCGTATACCATTCTAACTTCTGCCAATTCGCGATATAGTGTCACCGCCAACCAACACCCCGGTGGATGAATGGTATACAACCTTGCCTTGTAAACTGGAGGCTCTGGGTTCGATTCCTGGTGATGCCATGGGTGCGTACCACTGAAAATTCTCAGAACCAGGACGAAACAGTTGTCCAACACTCCCTAGTTTCCAGTACTTCTTTGACTGAAGTCAGCTCGCGATCAAGCTTGAAATGAATCCAATCCATGCGAACCTAAAAAATAAGTATCTTACTGTAATGCATACAGAGGCAAAGTTCCAAGACTAGACTTGGTTTTTATACTTTATATCGATAAATGTGAATTCGTGTTCGACCTTCGAATAACCGTCCGACCAGACTATCAACTAAGAATGGAAGGTATCTTGGAAAGTATAATTTCACAGATTTATTGACTTACTGTACTTATATTAAACTGTATGATCAGTTACCTACGCAAAAATTGATGATTAGTTAGAACCTTATTCAGCTTATTTATAGCCTCTACAATCCGACCTTGTGGAATCTGTGACCGGGATATGTAAGTAACTTGTCTGATATGAGTTTGTGACTAGGAGTGAGCAAGAAACCTTGTACCTAAGTTTACTGCTCCTCGATATTGAAAAGGAAGGTGTATCCAGTGATTCTAGGAGATTGACGCTTCTTTAGGGATTCGAACTTAGGACTACAATCCGAGGAGCTACTAATAGGTTAATTCTATCTGAATTAAAAATAGCATAATCAAGTCACAACTAAAAATACTTCATCTTCCAACCAGAATTGCATAGATAATCAATCGATAATTTCAACTGATTTGAATCCGATAAGTGCAACACATAAGATTCTTTTGCAATCGATACTTCCAGCACAGAAGTGAACAGAATGAACAGCTGTATGAGATAACTGTAGTACAATGTTAGATCAAATGAGTACATACAGGTATTTGATAGTACTGTGTGATCAACGAAACAATTCGGGGTGACTCTAACGGTAAAACTAGTATTGCATTTACATGACAATTTTCTAAACACAAGGAAGTAAAAAATGGAGAGGAAAAGTAGCAACATACAGTTATTTCCAGGTAAAGGGCATCATCATAGTACGATAATAAAGATGACCCTTTCTATCCAACCAATTACTCAAATTAACTTAGCTTATGATTAGAAATCACTTTCAGTTAAATAACAGTGGTTCCCTACACCACTTACTCACCTGGATGGATAAACATCGGGAAGAATGCTTGGAGGTATTCCTAAGCTGGCCAAAATTGGATGACTCCATTTACGCTACAAAAAAAGAAGCAGTAAATGAGAGAAAATGTCACTATTACTGTCATTACTATTAACATCAGCTCGATAATAGATATCCTGAAAGGGTTTTGTCAAATCATAAAAGCTGATGATTTAAGAAGACAGCTTTTAAGCAACGATCATGTCACCGATTAGTGTAGGGAAAACTAACATAGACAATAGCGATTGAGAAGAGGAAATCATTAAATATTTTCTGCTTATATTATTAGATTATATGAAAAAGCATAGCAATTTTTGCACTGAAGTCTTGTGTACAATTGTAAGATCAAAGCAACCATCTTGTACATATGTTGGTGTTGTCTACTTACTTTTCTCGACATTTACACTGTAAAGAGTGTCACCGATACAAGGAATTTCCAACTTTCTTTCAGAGTTTTGGCTAGTGGAAGAAAATGTTAACTCTTTTAACAGAGAAAAATACACTAAACATTTTCAGATAAATTACATCTTCTTATGTAGAGCGAACAATTGTTTTCAATAAATTCTTCTTCAGGCTCTACAATTATAAATCCAGTAATTTAAGCATACAATAGCCAGTAAAGGCAAATTAGAATCATATCAGAAAGTGTATTGTGGAATAAGTATAAGATGGGATGGAACAATAGTCAGATAGTTTTTTAATATGCATGGTCAATGAGAACATGGGACAAAATCAGATGAAGTAATTTAATTTAGTGATGTGTGTATATATATAAATATAGTCAACAGAAAATACAGGTTTCGAGAGTGTGTGTAATCAGGGTGTGTGAGACAATATGAAAATAAACCAACGACTGGGGCGGACTAGACATAAGTTCAAGGTTGAAAATAACGACAGTAAGAATGATTGTAAAATAATAACGATGATATGGTGTAAAATTACAAGCACTATTGGTGAATGATTGTCAAATAATAATAATGAAGTGGAATGAACAGGATTTTGTAAATACGATAGCAAGTTAGAAAAGCACTACTTAAACCTAAGGTAATAAAATCATAAGAAAGGTCATGAAATCATAAAAGTCGAAAATGAATGATTGTCAGTGAAACAGAGGAATAGAAGAAGAAGAAAAGAAAATTGTGAAAGGAATTTATAGTGTTAATGGAGGATTTGTTGGCTTTATTGTAGGCCAAGGTAAACATAGTGGTTGAACATACTCTTTGCATACAGAAGAAGTATGACCATTTACCATGCATATTAAAAAACTATCTGACTATTGTTCCATCCCATCTTATACTTGTTCCACAATACACTTTCTGATATGATTCTAATTTGCCTTTACTGGCTATTGTATGCTTAAATTACTGGATTTATAATTGTAGAGCCTGAAGAAGAATTTATTGAAAACAATTGTTCGCTCTAAATATTTTGTTCTGAATAAATTATGGGAATATTCAATTTATCTTCTTATGTGTTTTTTTCAAAATGCATAAAGGAGACTAGTGATTTCAAAACAAAGAAAAAAAAGTAGATGAATATATGTGGGCAATACCAGTTGGAGTAGTTGAGAAATATACAGAGTACGCCTACTTCAATGATTAGACTGAGAGTATTCTGAACAAGAAATACCATCAGTCTACAAATCCACTAACTGTTGGTTCAAACTGCATCTGCCTGGAATACGATGAAATCAGATGTGGTTGAACAAGACATGATGTTAATCCACAAAGTAATTGTTCATTGATATCAAACATGAAGGGACAACGAAAGCTTTGCAATTAAATTAACCAGCTTGGAGAACACAACCGCACGAAGAAGCGTTAATCGTTTGACTCGAGTTGCAAGAAGAAACCTATAGTAAGTGCTCTCGCCCCCCCCCCTCCATAATAATACTGATATTTCACTTAGGAGTGCGCTAAGAATTATAACTCTAAGTTTATTAGGAAGGCATATTTTTAATAGTGATTAATTCAAGATGCATAAAAACTCACAGAGAAAGGATCATACATTCCGGTAACACTTGCACAACTGATATCCGTAGCAAAGGTTTCTCCACCTGTAAGCTTCCATATCAACCATGTTTCTAAGCATCCATAACAGAGTAAACCTTTACGACATTCATCTAAAAGCTATAACAAAATAAACAAATAAAATAAAGTTGCACATACATTACCTTGACATTAGAATGCTAAAGTATTTCGAAATACCAACCATTTACGGGAATACCTTGAAATACTTAGGGATTTTGAGATATGCTTTCTGCTGCTGAATAAAAATTGAACAATGTTAACACGAAAACCACACAATAACTGAAACAATTATAAATATATGGACACAACATTCACCTCAGGCATAACACTACATGTAGATACATAAATATAGAATAAAATGGTGCGAAGTAGCAGTCATGAAATCTTATTACAGCAGGGTGAACGGAGTGAGAGATGTTTGTTGAATCAACTGAGAATATGCGCAATAGAAATAATTCAACACAACTCGGACATCTGAAAAATCCCACTACCCATATGACAAATGGAAACGGCGGACCGGCACTATAAATATAACGTTTCAAAGTTGTGAATATGATTGTGAACAATAAATTGTGTTTAAAATGTCGTCCAGTATATAATGCTCTATTCATGTGAGGTATAGTATATCTAATTTAGTTGCTCATGTGGAGAGAGCTATATAGGGCGAACAACTAGACGGCTTAACAAACGCATTAATGAGCCTCTTCTTTCATGGTTCGGAAAAGGCCAAATGAAATCTATAAGAAGTTTTATTTTGGCTCTTTTGATTGATAGCGGTCACCAAGTGGACAGAAATAGTGCCTTCAAAGTTATCTATCGAAAACCACCGAGCCTTTCGAATGGAATTCGAACCCGCCTTTTACACATAGCCGAAGCTATGGGAATTCGAGAGGACAATCCTAGTCTTTGCATACAAAAGAAGTTTGTTCTACCTTTGTTTTTCCCTTGGTCTAGGTGAATTCTAATCAAAACCCTCCCACCCTTTCTTATTTTCCATTTCCTTCGTACTTTTATGATATTTATTTAAACTTTGATTATCTGTCCACTTCACCCTTTTAAGATTTGACCTAATTTATTTATTGCATCGTCTACATATACACATATTACTACCTTCGTAATTCTTATGGCCACCTGCATAAACCTTATTATCACTATTTTGTTATCATTATAATCATCGTTATTAATGCCGTTCAAAACATTTACCATATTATTATTATTATTGTCATTATTTGATCCACAAAATCACTGTCATTGGTTAAAATTTTTATATATAAATCTATGCAAGTTAGAGTAAAACCTGAAGATCTAATTGAAAGCAATATTGTTCGCTGATATGTCTTCTTCTAGTATATCTAATAGGCAAACTAACAGAGAATTAAATACAAACAATGCCCAAGTCCTACACACATATGTTAATTCAAAAATTACAGAACTTTAGGCATACTCATTGAGAGATATGAGAGTTCTACTGGAAATATTTTGATTATCGTCACCAAAAACATATCAAATCAATTTGTGAAGCCACTCAATACGTGAAATTCCAAAGTGGCATTAAAATTTCAAAAAGGAATTCCGTTATTTAAATTTTATGCTAACTACATATTTGCTACGCATATTACTTTGCCTGTTGTCAGTTAGATGAGAATATTGACTAGGATTCCTGAGTTTTTGAATACTTTCCGTAATGAGCAGCCAAAACAATTAAAATTTACTATACAAGTGTTGGTTTGTGGGGATTTGATTGAGTTCAGGTTTGATGACGAACCGACTTCAGTTAAAGGACAATTAAAAGCCAGGGAGTACTGCACATTCGTTTCGTCCCTCTTCTTTGGGACTGTTCATCAGTACGCACCCATGACCCCACCAGGAATCGAACCTAAGGCCTTCAGGTTACGAAGCGAACACATATGCTACCCAGGCACTGGGACGGAATCCACTTCTAAATCCTGCCGATTTGCGATATAGCACGACCGCCAACCAATGTCATGAAGGTTGGATTGTGGGTGTGTACTGCTGAAGAGCCCGAAGCAAAAACGAAACAGCTATCTAGGACTCGATGGTTTTCAATGGTTCTCTAACTGAAGTCGTTTCGTGATCAATCTTGGAATTGAAATTTAGGTGCCAGCAAAAGACAAATATGTACAAAGAGATACTCATATATAGTGGTAGGACATGAAACTTTTCACGCATATTATACATGTGTAAAGATCTGTAAATATGGTGTAGCAGTTACAAAGATAATTTAGAAAACAAACATTTTAGTAGTTTAGAGATCACGCGGTTTATTAAACGTACCTCTGGCCTTTCATTTAGTAAATATTTAAGACGTACACAGGCTAGTGCTGTCTTGAAATGGTATGACGCTAGTGCTTTGAACCTCGAGCGATGAGTCATCCAGTATAACAGATGACCAGCAGCTTTCATACTCTGTAATGTAATAAAATTATAAGAAAATTAATTATAGGTATAAAGTGAAATAAACACAAATATCTTATCGATATTAAATAGTAGCCAGATTAATCATGTTTCTTTTTATTTTCACGATAACCAGCGGATCGTGAGTCTCTTAACTATTTGACAAGACACATCACTTCGCGTAATGCGATTAAGTCCTATTTTAATTATATCCGTCTGTCACATAAAAACACCTACGGTGACACGATATAAATTCATACTTATGAAGTCTAACCTACAACAACAAGCATCTATCACTGTTGGTATTAGATGGTTGGAGGTAATTGGCAGGAATCCTTGGACCTAGGTTTCGTGCTAGTTGGTTTGAGTGATAGAATTCAGTCTGCATTGAAGATAGGACTAGACACATTACTGACTAGTGTCCAATAAAAATATCCAATACAGTCCTATAGGAGGTCAACCGTGAGCCCCAATAGCTCAGTGTTAACGTCTCTAACTGCAGCACTGGGTAACGTGGGTTCGAATCTCAGATGGGACATGAGTTTCTTCAAGACTGCAGATACGTCTCGCTGATGAGTGACAACTAGCACAAAACCTACGTCCAAGGCTTCCTTTGGTCGATTGCCTCCAACCATCTAATACCAACAATTCACAGTGCACCGTAATGGCGAGCCACTTAGCATGGTGGCCACATTGCAAGCCTGACTGATAGAATTCAGTCTGCACCGGAGATAGGAAGAGATACATTACACTTGTTACTGACTAGTGTCCAATCAAAAATGCATCTATCACTACCAGCAAGAGAAATATGAAGAAAGTCACCACTTTCATTTATCTAGGCAGCTTTATTTCAACTACAGGCGGCACAGATGAGGATATCAAAAGAAAGATAAGAGAAGCAAGAGATTTTCATTAAGCTGAAATCAGCGTGAAAATCTATTGCACTCAACATAACGAAAAAGCCACCGATTTTCAACACTGATGTCAACTCAGTTCTTCTATATGGTCCAGAGACTAGGCGGGTTACTAAAATCATTTCCAACAGGTTACAGACTTCTGTCGATAGATGCTTTCCTTCTACACTGAAGATCATATGGCCGGGCGTGGTGGATAAGCGTCAAGGCACTCTAGGAAAGAACTAACCAGTTGCCTATCGCCAAACAAATATGGCGAGACAAATGGACATGGATTGGATATACACTGAAGAGACGATTGCGTAAAGTCACGCGCCAGGCCATTAAATGAAACCTGAGGATGATACGAAGTTGATCGTGTGAGGAGGAGATGAGAGCTCATAGACAATCATGGAGCCAGCTAAAGAGGACTACAAAGAACAAGATTAAATGGAGATGTGCTGTCGAAGCTCGGTTTTCCACTCTGTCTATCTGGACTCAACAGAGAACTTGGCACCGAAGTGCAGCAGTTCGAGTAGCCACGTTCCAAATACCACACAAAGGTAGACAAGAAAATGAGTGAAGAGAATCAATAGAGTTTTGACAAGTATAAGAGTGAAACAGAGTGGGTAATCGTAGAAAGGAATATGAAAGATTACAAAGACTGAATACATCTGCGTAAGCCATTGACAACGATTTTGAGTCATGTCACCTATTGTCTCCAGCCATTGATTCTTAGAGTCCCGAGGGCCCCAACCCGGAAGTCTGCATCTCCCTACCTGACTCAGTTTAACTGTCAAGGATTTCATGGATTGATGCCATGTTTTTGTTTGGCCACCGCTTACTCTTTTCCAACCTGCACCTATATCAGCTAGTAATGCCCGTCGGGGGAGGCGATGGTTAGGCATGCGCAGCACGTGACCTAGCCATCTCAATCTATGTAACTTCATAGCCTCTTCGATTGATTTTCCCTCTTTGCCCAACACTCGAAACCCAAGGGAATAATAAACAAAATAGATGTATTGTTCCGAATCTGATTCACAAGACAAATAAAAGATGTATGAATTCATATACGGATTAGGGGTGATGAGTTCAAAATCATCACAGCATTGTGGTATTTCCAAGGAAAAGGAATTTATGAGTCAAGCCTCTGTAACATTACAATAACTTCAACTTCACGACAGACTATTCGAATAAATTGGATGACTGTAAGTCGTAACAACATTATATATATATTAGTTGCACCAGATTATGGTGTATAGAAATCCCACTGGAAAATGTGTCCTAAAAACAGAGACCTTGTGTGCACTTCTATTATCTTCGTAGTTTATTCCATTTGTTTCAAACCCTAATACACTCAAAAGTCGATGCAAATTAGTCACTAATTAAGTGCAAGGAAGCGGAAAGTAACATGAGGGCTGGTTGAAACGAAAATTCAGTACTCAAACAATTGAGAAAGTCAATCAATATCAGGCATTTTCAATGGTGCTAAATTTAGTGATCTATAATTTCGGCCTAGGATTTGTACTATGTACGAACAGATTATCTTCCTTATCAGTAATAGTCGTATTTTTGAGCGAACAGGTTAGATGGTGCCTGCAAATTTACCCAGCGCCTCTCGTCAGCTTAACGTTCTAGTATTGCGGTTTACGTGGAAATTAGCTGAATTTAATACTGTTGATGAAAGCATATCTAGAGCAAATTTTAGAAATATGCACTGACAACATCCTAGAGACGGAGCTAAGAAGTACTTAAGTTTTGTAGCATACCATAAGAACTGATTATCTTTTACGCCATTTTCATACTGTGGAGAAATAGTTAGTCACCTACGCAAAATAAGTGGTGAATCCAACCATGCGATATTAGTATCCAGGTCAATAACATCACTTATACAACAATAAATAGTGAAATTAAGTGATAGACTTACACGAAGTATAAAAGAATTATTCCATTTTTTAGCGAGGTCTAAAGCACGTGTATCCTGCCAAGTGATAATGCGCGTTCGCGGGATTGATGTCTTTCTGCTCAATTATTTTCATCAAAAATAAACTCTTACTTATCCCAAAGCACTAAACTATTTCTCTGAACTGAAATGCCTATGCATTTGATTTGATCAAGACGAATGTTGGCGTCTATATCATTATTTTGTAAAGCATTTGCATTACCTCGTACAGCACTATCCAGTAGTCTGCATAAGCAATCCCAAACAGCCTCAGGATCCAATTCACATGAACCATCAGACCCTTCAATCCGGGATACCTATAAAACAGAACGGTCGGTAATACCACTTTTTAGAGATATCACTCAACAAAACGAAAATTCCCTCTTCCTTCTACACCTTATAAGCTTTATTGATAAATCAATGTAGGATCATGTAATATGCATATATAATTTTGGCTTACCATGTCCATACTGAGCTTAAGATAGGGAAAATATATAGTGTATGGAACCATGATATATTTAATAAGACGGTATGTTATTAGTGACCATTTTTAAGACTACGTGTTGCATTAACGGACGATTGTACATAATCAAAGGGAACAATTGTACTCGCTACTGATTATTTACCTGCAAATACACTAGAATAAAATGTAGTCGAACATTCATCTAGGTGTCGTTGTTCCATCAACAGTAAGAGACAGGTTACATTGAGTTGATGAGATGTTGAATAGTTCACACTAATAACTTAACTGCAAATACAGAACTACATTAGGTTTTCATTTACTGTATGCCAGACGGTGAAGGAAGAAATCCAGTGATGTACTAGTTAATTGCACTATTTTCCGTAAATAAAGTACGAATACAACACATCCTGAAATGTGAAGGTTTCAGAAGGACGACTTGTACGTTCGCAAAAATCACGTACAGTTACAACTAAAGCACTTTCACTTTGTTTATTCTTATTAACATCATATCATATCATAAAAAGTGATTATTCGTGACATTATGCATTTACAGATGACCTAAGTAACACATCCTACAAAATCTCAGGAGGGCGAAAGTGTGATAAACCCAACAACTTATACCGCTCTTGACTAAGAAGAATCAGTTGAAATTGTTTAGCAAGAAATGTGGTCATGACGAATTTCCCAGGAGAAATCTTGCATTTTAAAACATGACACTCATAAAGAAAAATATGCGATAAAAGCTCTGGTAGCAAATAAATGTACGCCTAGAAATCTGTTTTCAAGGATTCTCAAACGTCTTGAGGCATCTTAGTCTTAATAACTCTTCTGATGTTTTTATATATCTGTGTCGATAGGTAACCATTCTCAAGTGAACATTTTTATTAAACAAGTAACCACAGTACTGCTTACAAGTCACTACTGCCCAAATCAGTATTAAATAAGTATTAAACAAACTGGTAACAAGTCCAGATTGACACCCAATGCGTGTGAACAACATACTGACTCACTTTACTGCTGCTAGATCCAATGGCTTTAAGATCCGTAGTGTAAACTCTGGCACATGCATGAGTACTTCCAAAGTCAACACCCAGTACGTACTTGGAGACCATTTGCTGTAAACCAATTTCAACGAGACAAGAAGAAAACAAGAGGTAAAACTGGTCGAGTGTATATTTAAAAATGACTTCTAAATCACATATTTGTAAAATTAAAATCTCTTATTTTCAGGACTAGAAGTGGCAACTGCTTTTGTAAGCTCTCTGACTTTAGCCTCTTGAATATCAACCAAAGTCATGAGCTCATTAACTTGACTAGTAAGTTGATCCAGTGTTTTTTGTACATAATCCTCCTTATTAGCTTCTTTTCTGACTTGTCGACGATATTCGAACAAGAGACAGGAGGCCCCCACCACGAAGATGATTACTTCTCCCAGCACTTCCGCTCCGAGGTCAACAGCAGCATCCTCACTCAATTTGGCCACTTCTTTCGGCTTTTGTAGACCCAATAACTTTAACTTTAACCGAGTTTCCCATAAGTGATAAACTATGAATAAGAAACGTCGACTTTAAAGAACTTACACTGTGCTGGTGGCAAGCACACGTAGTGTCGGAAGAATGCGTTTGTTTTGGCCTTTCTTTTTAGGTAATTAGCAAGGGGCTTTCCAATTTGTTTGATAGCTAGTGCTCCTAACTTAAATACAGGGAAAGCCCCAACCATATGATTGCAATCGAAAAGCGCGCTCTCAGTATTTCCAATACATAACTTATTAGTGATGAACTAGAACAAGCCTATTTGTTCTGCGGTTTTGCTTCTTTATACTGAGAAATGATTTAAGGTATCTGGTGACTTCTGATGAATGATACTTACCACATAACTGCAGCAGTCATTCTAAACGCAGAGGGCAGTCAGATAAGGGCTATAGTATTTCCTGCAGCATTCAAGGTACTGGCGTATATGATTGTCGCACTCACAAGTATATCTTCAAACTGCTATGAAGTCAGAATGTGCGACTACTAATTGTGAAAAACAGAGGAGGGAAGAGAACTAATCTAACAATAAAATCACGACACTAGTGCATAAAAAGTAGGTGTCAAGTAAATATATTTACTGATATGTGGGCGATTAAGGAAAAAATTATTTCAGTGCCATTCCAGAAATTCAGATTGCGCATTGCTTCGGTCTGTGTAAAGTGATATTATAGAATTTCCATAAGTTTTTCCCATGCATATCTTGTGTAGGTGAATAATTATAAGTATACTTACCCGTCATATTTGATATTTATCATATTGATGATGCCTGGAAACTGGCGTCCCTCATGTACAAAACCTAAGAATATACTATCATTTTTAAAGCGTTGCTAGAAGATGTGTCTTCGATCTTAACAGATTGGGACCGACAACACATAAATAAGTTAAACCACTCTAAAAGATTACCAGATATGCCATCAGCCTCTAGTTTTCAGGAGCAAACTATGACATACCTCAAATGCCTTCTTAAGATCAGTGCACATAATAGTACAACGAATGTTTCATCTGTACTTCGGCTGATAAACTCAAATAGTTCTAAGTGGCATGTCATACATTACCGATGATTAATACGGCCGTTCTGAGAAGGCACTATGAGTTTTTCAGTTAATAAGAAGCCAGTCATTTTAATACTGATTATCTTCTCAAATATGCCTGACAAAACAGGTGTTATATTGACCGGTCTATAATTCTCCGCATAATATAACGACCCGGCTTTCAATCTAGGACCAGCAGATATGGTAGTGGTCACAAATGTGAATCGCTCCAATCTGCAGGACAGTAACATGCATTTTTTGACAGCTCGAGCATTAAACAGGAGTCTGGGGCCTTAACATAAAAAACAGTAATGATTGTATAGATCTAAATTACTAAAAACGCTTCTGCTCCTGCAATCTAAAAGCCTGCTTAGCTTCTTTTCGACATGTTACCCTGTGGGCCCTGCAGAAATTTGTGAGACATCTTACAGGTTATCATATCCTACAGGTTCTAATCTTTTGGATATTTGAAGCCACTTCCCGCTGAAATACCACTTATCTACTTCATAATAATCTCTGTATCTAAGTAATAATATACTCTATTCTATCTTAACTACCTAGACCTTTAATGAAGCTAAAACTTACTCTTTTATTCGTGTTCTTCGTTCACTTAAAGCCTGGTTGCTGTTTTAGGAAAAAATATAACAACACCAATGTTTCCTCAAAGTTATATTTTCATTGAAGCAGCCATAGTTTCCATTGTAAGACCAATATGGTTAGCATCAAACATTGCAAATATATATTATCATTCCAAGGAATTCATAGCCCATTCTCGTTTATATCTTGTAAATACAATTTCTATGATGTATTACCCATGATTGTGTTTTATGCCCTTTTGGAGTTTCTCAGAACGTTCTTCTCTTCCTGAAATAGCCTTCAATCATGTGAGTGCATAACGCTTACGCAGATGTAGGCTGTTCACTTGTTGACTGTAACTATCAACAGGAAACGAGATGAATTTTGGGATGTTGCCCAATCTTGGTGGTGACATTAGTGAAGCCTTTACAATTTAACATCTATACGAACCTGTTCTGACTGGTCGCAGTATAATTCAACTAATAAAACCTTTAAAAAGGTGATAATTTATGATATTTTGCAATTGTAATCCATACCATGTCTCATAGTGCCTGTAAAAATAGCGTGCATTATTTGTAAATTTTCCCATTTTTATGATATATAGACTGTTATGCCGTTTTGAGCGAAATTTCCTTTCATTTCAGTCTTGATTTCATTACATCCCCACCTGAATTTTATAACACTTTCCACCGTCTCATTTTTCGTCAGATACAAGGACTGTTCCAGATTTTCAGGAGAGGTATTGAGTCATTCCACTTGCACGTATTTTCAGACAGTCTGGTACAGGACGCTTAAATTATCCGGTTTTCCCCCCAAAATTCATCCTAGGTGTTAGGACTATCATCTATCCTGTCTGATCTTACGGCTGTTTTATTGCATATAGCTATGTAGTTGAGAGATTTTCCGGATTTCCTACCTTTAAAGGGCTAATCATATAGAATTTGCCGGGATTATGTCCTCCGCAAGCTTAATTGACCTTGCTCCTTTACTTTCGCCTGTGTGCCTGAAGTCGTAATTATTGCAGGAAATTAAATAAACTAAATTTATTTATTGATTAAGCTCATAGGATTTTCCAACCGACATATGTGATTTCTGAATGAGTCTAAATGCCAATTCTGCTCCTAGTTCTTTCCAGAAATTTGACATAGGGTTTTAGAAGTTCCGTCGTTCTAAAGAGGCGTCACCGATGGTTTGAAATTCCTATTGATGGTGTTGGCATCTTTCTATTTATTTCGGTCATGCATTTCATCCTTACTATTGGTTTCATTCTTATCAATGCAATTTTAAGTCACAGTTTCCTCTATATGCCTTGCTTCCTGCCTGAGATTTCGCCCTTAATACATACGTTTTTCTCCTTGTCATTTAAACAGTTTACTAGTTGTATTTTTGCCGACACAAGGCTGGATGAAGCGAGATCCAGACATCAGTGTGAATTTTCGAGCTTTCTGTAAACATTGGTGTTTAACTTCCCGTGTTTCTCGTTCTGTGACACAGTCCAGCATTGGAAGCTCTTGGTCATTACCTGCTGCTTTAATTGTGATTTGAATTTCCCCGGCGAATCACTACCGTATAAACGTAGGCCAAAATATTTGCTCTTCCCCGTAAAATGTCGTGATGAGACTGCAAGACACAAACTGGTGAACTGTAATATTATGTCCGGACAACACGACAACCCTCAAAAACAGGGTACTTCGGCCCTGTAAATTACAATATGAACAGAGAAACAGACTATCTAATGCCGAGAAATGATTCCAGACACCCACGCAATGATGACTGAAACCAGTATGTGCAACAGAATTATTTTCGGCTGCAGCAAACAATAGCCTCTCTCGAAGCACAATTTGTTCAAAGAATAGAAGACACACTGACACTGTCTTCGCTGAGAACTCCTCCGGACATTATGTAGGAAACCAGGAGTTAGAGATAGTAAGAAGAAAACCCAATAATTATCCTCCCAACAAAACTGGTTTTCTGAAAATTATGCTCTTAAATGCTCGATCTCTCCTTAACAAAATAACTTCCCTTCGCAGCTTGGTATACATGGAACGGCCAACAGTGATCCTGGTAACTGAAATCTGGCTAACTAATGATATACCTGACACAAAGCTGATAACTGATAACGATGACATCCACAGGAATGATAGAGTGGACAAAAGAGGAGGCGGGTATCAAATATATGCCTCTAAATCCTCTGACTCCAATACTTTTACAAACATAACTATCTACACACTCCCAGAATCTAAGTGCATAAGCATCCACACGAACTGAGATAAAATTCTCGTGGGATGCATATACACAGCCCTTAACATTTCCTAGGCATTTGTAACAAATACTTGTATACATGCATGCATTTATAAAGGTGATACTGCTAAGAATGTCCTCACGTATCAATGTATCTGGTTACTTAATGGGAAGCGCTTGCCATGAAAGCTGATGGACCTAGGACTGAAATATTCTTTTAATCAATCATTTTAAGAGCATATCTCGAAATAAGTGTCGAAATCTCACAGATTTATTGATTTCCTACTCAGGAACTTCTACGGAAGTGAATCCAGAATACCACTGTAAAAGGTTTGTGTGCGCCCACTTCTAGATTACTGCTCACTCATATTTAGTAGTATACGCATAGAAGACAAACTAAAGGTAGAAGGAGTACAAAGGTACTTCACGCAGAAAGTACTCGGAACCGAAAACGGCACAATCTGCTTCACCAGATGTAAAATCCTAGGATTCGAGACACAATGGTCAACACGACTGTGACTAAATTGGGTACTCTTCCATAAGCTGCTTAACGACATGGTATGTAACACCACTAGTGGTACTCGCTTTTCAGACGACACCGGATATAACCTTAGACACACTAAAGGTGCAGTGGCTATAGAACAATGTAAAACAGCCACCAGGCGAAAGCTCTTACTGATTAGATATGCCCAAATATGAGACAAACCACCTAAGGAAATGCGACTAGCAAGCACATTGGCCTCTTTTGAAAAGGCACTTAATGACACTAAGTGAGTTTGCAAGCGATATCAGTGCCAAATCCCATTTAAGAGCTTCAAAAATCATAGGCCCGTTTAATATATGAACTTCGAGACTACACCCGTTTGTTTTTCCTCTATTTATAATTTCAGACAAAGTAGCATCAGTCATGACAAGAACACCCATACAAATAAGAGTCGGTCGAATATTGTCTACCTGATACTAAGAGTGGACAATAACCGACATATGAATGAAACTTGAGAAAACAAATTCGAGACATACCACAATATCACTTGGAAATATATAAGTTACTTGGACATTATTTATAATCCACCAACTCTTTTACTATCTGAAAAGAATGCGGTGATACTCCATCCACGGTGGCGAGGAAATACATAAATCCACAGTTCCCGTTGTATACACTCAGTGGAGGTAGGAGCCAACAAAGTAATGCATTTAAAGCATATGCATACTTCCCATGATCACGGCGATACTTTGCGGAATATAACAAAATCGTAGAATAACCAAAACCCACACGAAATGGAATTAAATCCGAACGGCAAACAAGTTGCAGTGCACATCAGAATATTCATCCCATGTTGATCATGCTGTCAAATCCAAATCACTACCTATACAACGTCAATAAACCTGGATATCTAAGAAGTAATGAAAATATGCTGACAGTTGCATTTCGAATCCCACTGACTCATTCGATGGTAATTCTCTGTTCCTTCATGGTTCATCCGACCTTTTGTATGGATTGTTTCGCAGTTATTCTGGTTCCAGACTGAAAAGAATCAAAAATTCACCGGTAGCTGATTCATAACTACCAATCTGCACGTTTGACTGGACACTAACTGTTGTGGTGAGCCCCTTGCAATTCATATTGCTGAAAATATTGTTGACGGTAAACTAAGGTTTCACAAGCTATTTCTACACTTTTGTGAATAGGCCTCCATATCGACCAATTGTAACGCAACCTTCAGTTGTAATGTGCGTTTTCGACAAATTCAAACAATAATGGTGTCTTGGATTATATCATATAAATTGTTTTAACTTATGCAAAGTGTGAAAAATTTTAAACATGCTTACTCCATGTGTACATTATCATCATATTGATGACGCCTGTTAACTGGAGTCCCTCATGTGCATAATGTGAGAATGTATTATTATTATTACTGTATAATGTTGTATTATAGTTTTTTCAAAATACTATAGAATAGCTGTCATAGACATACATTTGGAGCAACATTTTGTTTCCAGCTGATTTAACCTTATGGTCTCATACGTGTGCAACAGCCACTTTCCAATTTTGGTGCATATCTTCATCGACGACTTAGCTAAAATTATTCATTTTCCGGTAGGATTTGTCGTTTGATGACTTTCCAAGTTGGTGAGAGTTAGACATTTTAGTTACTTGTAGGAATAACGTTCATACGTGCCACTAGACCTCCAGGGTGTGTGGAGTATTTTTACGTGTTAGACCACGAAAAACTCATCCAGTAGAAAGACTGAGGAAGTTAGCGGTAAGCGAAGGGTAAGGATGATATCAAATACTGTTGCTCCGGACAAAAACGAAATTTTAATGAGAGGAGCGACCCTGTGAGAGTTTCATGGTTTTATAAAAAACCGATCATTAATGGAGTCAGGGTTGGCCAAAGAATTGTCCTTTATCATGCACTTTTGTCACAGTAAGCTAAAGTGACCTGAAATTACAGCGATTCACATAGTTTTCCTGTAAAAATTTATTGAGTTCAACGGAACCGATGTTAAAACTATGTTATGTCGTTCAAACTTCTATGGCATGTTATAGTAGACGTACACAACATGAAAATAAATTTAATCATCAGTTATCTCATAGGTTAATTAAGTGATGCAATTGTTTAAGTGATAAAACTATCAAGGTAGTGTAATCAAACAGTCACACCGACTAAAATACCGCAAATTACGTTTTAGTAGCTCTATCAAGCTTCAAATATTCTAGGGTCAACATATTATTATTGTTTCCTTTAATTCCTAGAGGAGCAGGGCTTCAGCCGTGCGTCTCCATTGCGTTCGGTTCTCTGCTATAGTCTTCACCTGGCTCTAAGTCTGCCCACACGTTTTCATCTCCTCTTCACATGACCTCCTCCTTCATGTCACCCTTGCACTGACGACCAACTCACCGCTTCCCTTTCAGTCGGGTTCCACTCGAGCGATGGCTTGTCTAGTGATGTCACTTGATGGTTTCCTCAGAGTATGGCCAGCCAATCCATCTCCATCTCTTCCTGCCTATTTGTTTCACAATCGGTTCCTGGTTGGTCCGCTCATTGCCAGAGATCTCTGTTGCTGATCTTTTCTGGCCGGCCATCTGATCTTGAGTATTGAGCGAAGACAACTGTTGTTGAAGGTCTGTAGTTTGCTTGAGATGCTCTTGATGACGCGCCAAGTCTCTGATCCGTATAGTAGCACTGTATGGAGTTAATTTGTTGATTTCGAACAATCAAAAACTGTACAGGTTCTCACTACCTGTACATTCTTCTGCATGAGCAAACGTATAGTAATATGTTCGCATCAACATTTATATCTCCTGGATCATAGTTAAAATATTGAATTTCTTAAATTCCTAAAGCACCGCCTTCTGTCATCAAAATGTCAGACTAAGACTAATAACTTCACTGACAATAATTTTTATAATCTTCAACATTTAGTTAAGGAATTCTCTGACTTTTACTCACGGTATGATTTTGACAGATCTATACAGCAGACAGAACAAAACGGTGGAATAACACTCGAAGAATGAAGACATTTATGGAAGTTATTTGGCTCTCAATTGCTTCGTCTTATATATACATATATATACAGTGTAGTCATCAAAAATATTCTCGTGCACTGTTTGTTATCTGTATGATATACAATAGGTATTGGATCTAGATCTTACCTGGTTTTAGCCTTAGAGAACACAGAAGTAAATATACACCTTAAAGGACTGATGTATATCAAAACGTATTACAGCGGAATGTCACTATTTAGTCTTTTCTCACTATTAGATAAATTTATACATGCATATACATAAAATTAAGGTTTTTTACTAAAAAAATAATTTCTATAACAGCATACTGCGTTTAGACCTTGAAATTTGTTTAACTTTTTAAGCTTGCTTTGACTGAAACGTCCTTGAAATGACGCGCTAGGCGTGATAATTTTTGCAGTTGGTCGCGTATTATAGGTTTCATTTCGTTCTTTAATGTATCCAAAGTTATTCAACATGAATCTATTTGCGAGGGATTTTTTTCGCATACTTTGATGCTGTCAGTCATTCAAATCATATGAAAAGGAAAACTGGTGAATCTCAACCAGGGAATTTAGTGTGTACCTGCAATGATAATTCCCACTGCGTAGCGACATCATATTACAGGACAAGCAAAAGACGTAGTCATATGGGCAACTGCACTGTTTATTCTGATGGGCGTTGTTATACCGCACGTGCAATCAATGTGGAGGCTTTAGGAAGATATCTTCGCTCTCAAGTTAATGCTGGGGCCGATAGATCTGTTGCTTCATCTCCTAAGATTGGAATCAACCCTGCAAAGTTACATAGATTTATTCATGTTATTTATGGGTGCCTGGATTCTCACGATAAGACGACACTTGCTTGCAATAGCCATTTAACCAAACATGCTGTCCCTCAAGCCATCGAATGTTGTAATTCCAGTAATATGTGCAATGCTAATCTTTTCCCGAAGTTTATGCATCATGATACAGACGAAGATGCCCTGAGGGCTGCTGTTGAACATTTCGAAAAGAATAACATCTGGAGAGAACAACAGCTTGCTAATGGAAATTTACGTTTAAAGCCCTACATTAATGTTGGGCCTGATATGTTGATTGGTGGCTCAGCCATTGAAGACAGACCTTACGACAAATTAAAGAAAAATGCACTATGGAAGGAAGATCTTACCGTGGAAAACCGAGCTCAGTATCTTTTTCATGTAGTACTCATAGTTACTTTCAGCCTCGTGTTCATCATACTGTCTCTTGTTCTTGCATCTGTTTGTTGTGTTTATAAACGGCGTACTCAACGAAGAAAACATCATCTTTCTGCATTTAATAGTGAAAGTTCTTCTGTAGTGAAATTATCGGAGGTAGGTGCAGTTTGTGACAACAAACCTATGAAAAGATGGTCATATTATAAGGACTTGAGGTCTATGCATCCTGTGTGTGTTAAATTTGAAAAGTCTGGCAAGCCGAAGGATGGTTCAAACCCGCACACAGTGTTAACTGAACTTACACATAACTTGGATGGCAGTTTAGTAGAAAAATCTCGGTCTTCGGTAGGCCCAATAAGTTCTAGTGGATTGTTGCACCTGATTCCACAGACAATAGGCAAACAAATAACTTTGGACAGCCTCCTGGGAGCTGGACATTTTTCACATGTCTGGATCGGTAAGTAAGCATGCCCCAAACTGCCTGCTTATAATATATAGTGGTTTTACAATAGTAGCGCCAATTTGATTTTCTTTTACGTGGTATTTACAATGTTATTGTATGACGAATCACTTAAGTAACTTACTTTAGTTCTTGATGTCTGGTTTTGAGTTTATAGTTTAATCATTTTCATGTAGTTTTTATTTTGATGCACATGGGTTACCTTGTGGGAATAAAATGGATCCATGTAAGATTTTCCAATTTTATGTGCTAACCAGTTGTTGCCTTTGAGATGAATTCAATATCTTTGGAGCAAGGTGGCAGTGTCTTCATGGATGCTTTAGCAAATATGTTTAAATGGGTAACAACCTTAGAGCTACGCATTTACTATACAACGCTATATTTGGCCATAAACCATGGCTTAAATTTCGTGTAACTTCAAAGTAGTCTATTGAACATTCAAGAAGCTCTTAAATCTGGGTTTTAAGTTTTGAAGGTTGGTGAACTATAAATATCTCTTTTCTTTCTAATGCTTATGTGAAGTATTTTTATGAAGCAAACAGATTAATAGAAACAACCATATTTTTATTGCTATTACCTTAGTGTGTTAGAACCACTGTGTCAGCAAAGTAGGGATTATTGGTAGCATACTGTGTAGAATTTTAAAGTCGTCTGATGACCTTTTGTGTCTTCAACCGATAATTCTAGGAGCTGTATCATTTATGCGCAATCACTGCTTACCTCAACATGCTCCATTGGGTCAACTACAAGTATGATTGAATGATTGACCCATCAACTTAGAATTTTGTAAAATGCTGCATCAGAAAAAACACACAAAGGCAATGCTTCAAATTCGCTTATCAGTAGCGACATCACTGATTCCACTTCACTGCATCAATATTTAGCCTGTCCAACTAGACTGATGATTTGGTTGACAAGTCATTGTCTCAACATTTGATGGTCACTATCTGTAGAAGTCTGCTGGGTAATAAGTGCGGTGTAGGCATATATATTCTGTTCTTGTTTAAGTATGTGAAATACTTTCACTGAAAGTAAAGAAGAAAGTTATGGGTAGCTAGATCACAATATTTTTGTCCGTCTAAAAATCTAAAGAATAGTAGTCCACTTTACTGGTATCCCCACCAACAATCAAAACTTTTTATCACCCATAATGTCACGTTTTCTTATTTACCTTGCAATTTGTTTTCCCTTCATATGGCGATTATCACAACCAGTGTTTCTTTTATTTCCACTTCTTTCCCCTACATCATACTACTATTTGCTTTATTAAAGGAGTGCGGCATTGCACACTGAAATGTTAGTGAGTGATTTTGTGTCATTTTTTTGGTAGGTCCGTGACTAGAGCAGGCCGTAGATCATATCTTTATGGAATCCCTTTCCTTTATTTTCTTTTTCCAGACAGTTCTGCAAATATATGCATATATGTTCAGGGTCGAGTTCACTTTACCTTGGATTTATTTCTTTAAATAAGTGACAATTTGTATGGTTTTGATCTGAATATACAGGAAATATAGCTAGTGTATTAGTGATATCAAACATTTCTAAATGTCCTTTGACTTCTAATTAAACGTGGTGGCCATAAAATCTTTAAGCTCTAATTAAATAATGCGCTCCTCATTCTACAGATATAACCTACAACTTAGACGACAATATTTCATTTTGAAACTAATGCACCGAAAAAGTACTGTCTAGGTAAAAAATATCCTACTTATTCCACTTCTAGTTTTTAGTTTGGGATCTTATTAGTAAACAAATAATCTTCAAAACTAGATATATTACTCATCTCTTATCTTGATTATTTACTCACTGGATATTTTCTTTCATGAACTAGTTGCAGCGAGGCTCAAATTAGGTCACTAGGACGTCAATATCTCTTGTGTGACAGCATTATTAATCAGCATTTGAGACGTTATCAATATTTTTCCATGTCAATAGATTTTTCTACAAGTCGTAAGTAGGGATCTGTTAAGTGAAGCCAAACAAAGTTGAAGATGGGATTATGTGATGCGGAGGGGGGGGGGTAACTACCTCACGCATATGGTAGTACTGTTATTTAGTCTTGAAAAATTCTCAGTGAACCGTGAAATATTTTATTTTGATTTCACTTAGGGCTGATTTCCTTCTGATACATGGGTTCTATATCAAGAAAATGTAAGCTGTTTGAACTCTACTACCCTTCACAAAAAGTGTAACTGAGTGTCACTGTGCTTAAAAATATGCATAATTTCTGAATCACATTTTTATGTGCTTATATATGGAGTAAAACGTCCGGCTAGTAAAGTGACATACTAAAAATGAATCGAATTACGCGGTAGCTCAGCAACTCAAGAGCTGTATTAGTTCACGGGTCATACCTGTTCTGTGAGGCACGATAATCCAAGATGACGGCTGTTCTAGCCTGTAAGATTTTGTTTGAAAGTTGAATTGTGGCTCACTGTATTATGCACGTGATGTTTTAGGAAGAAAGTTAAGGTTATTAATTCCTATCCACCTATTGGTCTTTGAATTCAAATCGTTCAAGAGACTTCATGTAGCAAGCACAGATGCCACTGATTGCTTCAGTCACAAAACTCCAACTGCTTGCTGAATAGCTATTTTATTTTATACTGACAATTTGTGACCCTATTAGAAATAATAAGGATAAACAGAAAGATCTAATACTAGTCTTCCTATTGTAGGGTTTAGTGATTTTTATGTTACCAGACTAGTTTCATGTTCCCAAATATATGGATTCAGTTAATATAGTGTTTTTGTCTGTGATTGCACAAGAAATATAATTAACTTCTAGACGCTAAACAATTCCTAATCAATCATCCACTGATAGACTGGCATGATCTAAGTAGCTTGCGGCATGAATGATGACTTCAAATGTACAAGATTATTGATTGAATTTTAGCACTAATTGTAACAATCACTACACAACTGTTAGTTAAAATAACTTAAATCTCAACTATCCTAGTAATAAAGTCTAAGTTTACAAAAATAAATGTCGGCAAAGACTAGAAAGGATTTCATTATTAGTTATAAAGGTAAACGAGTTTTTTTTAAAAAAAACAGACGGATGTTTGTGTTTGTAAATGTAGTGGTGATTAGTGATACTTTGATTTAAAATTCACGAAAGCATTATTTAAAGCATACTCAAACTATTTGTCTGGATAATTCAGGTCTAATATAACGCATTCTTATTTAAACACAGCGTACATGCTAAATCTGGCAGTAAAATTTAGCTTTTACAGGTCTATCCATATCAGTATCTAGTGGTTTCATTCATGACATTATCAGGATGGTAAATTTTATGAATTTTTCTCACGCCACATTTCTGGTCACTAATAAATAAAAGGAAGACCAGTATTTGTACTCAGTGGAGTCATAGGTTCACTTTTTTAAATTTTTTATCATTTTTAAAATCTTTAATTCAGTTTTAATTTTCCTGTTGATTGATTGGACTGAAATTTTCGGCCTCTGTTGGCACGTTGACTCCCTGTGCGGATGCTTACACGATGTCTGAGGATTAACTTGAAGTAAATTGGTGGATGGTTACTAGCAGTGAAAATGTGCATCAATCAACGGGAAAATCAAATTGAATTAAAAATAAATAATGACTGACACCCATTGAACAATAGGTTTCTCTGGTGGCCCACTCGGTCTAGTGGATAACGCTTTGGCGTTTGTTACGATAGATACTAAGTTTGAGCCTCAGTGGGAACACCATCACTCACTGGGGAAGGCAGGTACATCCACTAGCTGACGAGTCCCAAATAGGACAAAATGTGCATCCTGGATTCCATTGCTAGTCACCATCTACTAAACTGTTTATTATTTTCGCTAAATATTACGCATTAATTTCTTTTTCAGGTACTTGGAAGGGAGAACGCATTGTTGCAAAAGTTTTTAAACCGAATGATCGATTGTCACGAAATATATGGCGTCGTACTGTTCTGTTACATCGGTCAATGTTACTTCGACACCAAGGAATACATGGTCTGATGGCAGTTGACTGGTTGAATTATCCTACAGATATACATCTCTCTGCTATCAAAAGATATTCTCCGAACTTTTTTCCAACTACTCCCTCTCCGTGTGCCCTACTTGTTGGGGAAATATGTGCATATGGCACGTTGAAAGATTTACTTTCCTATGGTGATTGTGCATTAGATTCTCTTAACCAGCTGTGGGATAGCTCAATTGATAAGTGCTGTGATATGACATCAATATCAGATGGTTGGCTGTCTATTATGAATGATCCCGGTGGTATTCGTCTACGGATATTATTACAAGTTGCAAATAGTTTGGTTCAAGGATTATGCTTTTTACACTCAGGTTAGTTTTAAATTCTTTACTCTAAGTATTAACCACTGTATGCTGTATTCGGCTGTAGAAACATTTAGTCGACTTTTTCAGTAAAGATAGTTCACGTATTGATGCCATTTGTACATTAGAATAATTATTCTGTGTTTTTACGCTGATTTAAGCGAATAGAATAACCAGCATCCACTGTAGTTATTTTAGTATTATACTTTAGCGATATGGTTTATCTACATCCTTTTGATTTTACTAGTAAGAATCTAAAATATATGCTGTTTTATGATTATTATTTTTTTGTTGTCTCATATTGTTGTGGGTTTACCAGCTGATATTGTCTCATATTTCAATTTCATATCTTGTCGATATAACTGCTGATTCATTTTTATTTATTTAAAGATATGTAAAGATATGCTTGAGAACACTCTGTGTGATTAGCGTCTATCCGCTCGTAGTCAACAACGTTAACTGTTTATGTGTCTCTGTAAAAGTCGTGACCTAATAAGCTAAACACTCCATTTTTCATCAATGCATAGTGGATTTAAAGTGCGTTTCATCTGTCGAGATGAATAGCATTCATTTCACTCATTTCATTTTGCATCTCAACATCCTTATGTTTACTTACTTAGTCGTTCTTCGGCTTCAAGAGGTATAAAGTATCTACATTTATTTTAGGGTACTGTTTTAGTTGTCTTTACTGGTGAAGTAACATTCAGATAAACTGTTGTAGTGCTTACGTGACATTATACAGAATAGTTGTCCAACATATTGTGTTATGCTAAATTGGGGTCGCGCTAAATCACGAATTGGTAGAATTCATTAGCCATTGAATCGGGTCCCAGTAGCTGAGTGGTCTACAACCTTGCCTTGTAACCGGAAGGTCCTGGGTTCGAAGCCCAGTGTGTGCGTACTGCCAATGATTCCCAAACTAGGATGAAACAGCTGTCCAGTACTCCCTTGTTTTCAATGGTTCTCTAATTGATATCAATCCTTGATCAACTCGTAAAAACTTAATAATAATAATAAAAATCTGTAGTTCAACTGTTATCTTACTGAACATTTTTGTGCTTCATTTCCACTGATATTTCACTTGATTATCGTAGGATATTATCACACTCTAAGAATTATTACATGTACTTAGGAATTAGTCAACCATTCATTATTTCGTTTAGTAATCTTAAAAAAATTATTTGTATTGTGTCATGGAAAACAGCTAAGTCATCTTGTTTGTTAATTTATGTTAGCATAGATAGTTTAGAAGTATTAAAAAAAAACATTAATTGTTGATTGATTATGTAGATTAAGGGGATATTCTACCTATGACAGTTTAAAAGTTATGTAAACATTGTAGGATTACATTAGGGACAATACTACCAGTTGTAGAGGAGATTTATAACTTAGGATGAAATTAAATTGTTTGATTTTGTTTTATTCCTTTACGTTCCCAGTAGAACATAGGGCTTCAAGCTAGAGGCTTGAAGTTTCAGTAGCAGTGGTATTTATTCTTGCGGGATGGGGTTGCTAGCCTCATGCCCAACCTTCTCTCTCTACCAGTCTTATTACTAGCTTAGCGAGGTAAAGGAGTGCGTCTGTGGCCGGGGATCGAACCCCGAACCACTTGTGTGGTTGGAGAACATTTTACCACTGTGCCACTAACGCAAAATGTCTGATATCTTCCGATAATTAAAATTTAATATTTATGTAAAACTTGGACACTGTGATTATTTGTTTATAGGATATTTTTAAAGTTTGAGCACACAGACTGGTATCAATTAGGGGACCACTGAAGAGCTATTTCGTCCTAGTTTGGGACTTGTCATTAGCATGTACCCTCCAGGGTTCGAACCCAAAACCTTCCGGTTACAAGACGAGCTCGCAGACCATTCAGCCACTAGGATACGAGCTTGTCTTGTAACCGGAAGGTCCTGGTTTCAAACCCTGGTGGATCACCTGCCAATGGGTCCCAAACTAGGAAGAAACAGCTGTCCAGTACTCCGTGCTGGGTTTCAGTGGTTCTCTAACTGACATCAATCTGTGGGCAAAACGTGAAACAAATCAAATCCATACAAATTAACTCTTGAAAATATTGGATATATCACACAGTGTAACAGTGGTTTGAATACTATTTATTGTTCATAAACATATGATATTTAACTGCATACATTTCATCACTTCTTCGACCAAATATCGCAGAGTTTCTGTGGTTATTTGCTTAGACGCACACAATGAGGTTATTCCTTTGCTCTACCAAGCATCATCTTAGCATATCATGTTTTTTTTTCCAGATGGTTTCTTATCAATCCATCTTAAGAGATAACTGGTTATCCTTGCTAGGAAGTGATATTCATCTCCTCTAATAAAATCAATTATTTATTTTCAGGCTTATATTAATAAGTTATGTATAATTAATACTGTATACACACGCACAAACATGGAGTGAGAAAGAGTTACCAACTAATGCCAATTCACTTACTATTATTATTATTATTATATGGAATTTAGACCACCTAGGAAATGCATTCTTTTATTAACAATTGAAAAATTTAATCCTACTCCTTGATGCAATCAACATCTGATTCAGTATTTAAAGCTTTCTTGTATATTCACTCATTCATTCATTTATGCTAGTCACATGCAGTTATATATATGCGCATATGTGTAGATATTTGTTTGGTTTCACTGAATGCTACACTTCTACATAAGTATTTCAGTATTTTTATAGGCTTTGGTTTCTTTATGCCCAATTCGCATAGACATGCAAAATGACATATATTTTAACTATCTTTATACAATTTTTGTGTAGTTCCAGTTATTATTATAATATACATATTTTTTCTTTAAAATGTGAATTCTTTATATATATATTTTTTTTGAAAAAAAAAAGAATTAGAGAACAGCACAACAAAAATAACAAAACAAAAATAATTGTAGTGAAAATTCCTACAAGTGGTTATTCTTAGTTTCTTTATTTTTTTTTTTTCCTTTTCTGGTGACTATCGATCTGTGCAAGTCTTCTTTCTGCGCTTTCACAGCTGCCTGTGCCTGTATACTGCACACACACACACATTCATGGTGCATTTCAGGATAATAGTAACAGATGTATGACTGTGTTAGTTATATGTAGCTATAGTCAATGTAGAAATGTGCTGTAACTTCTACTACTACTACTCCTATAGGGATTTCAGTAAATAATATGATTACCCTTTGAGAGGATTTATCCTTTCTCTCATGAGTTCATCATCTGTGTATTTACAATCCTTGATTATCGTTTTTTGTGCCATTTATTTGACAGCCTGCGTTGTTATAATCAAAAGTGAACATTCTTTTTGTCACTTATTAAGAGTTCACATGCTTTCCTTATATTATTTAATTCAATTTTAGATTTCCCCGTCGATTGATTGGACCGAAGTGCTCGGTTTCAGGTTGACATGTTGGCTTCTTGTGCAGATGTTTCGATGATGTCTGAACATGTAATTAGAAGTTAATTGGTGGGTGGTGACTAGCAGTGGAATCCAGGATGCGCATTTGGTCCTATTTGGGACACATCATCTGGGCACTGGGTTCGAGCCTCGGTGGGAACATCATCACTCACTGCGGAATGCAGGTACATCCACTTGACGAGTCCCAAATGGGACGAAATGCGCATCCTGGATTTCACTGCTAGTCACCATCCTCCAATTAAATTCCTTATATTATTTTAGAGAATCTGTTGAAGATTCGTTAATTTTACCCTAAGCTGGTTCAGTCCATACAGTAAATAGTTTGACTTTTGCAATTGTTTAAACAATCTACAACATCTTTTCTGTCTTCATAGTGCATATACTGGGGATTTAGGTGTTGTCCTTTATATCAGTTTATTAAAATGCACAAACCATAGCTGTTAGACGAAGCGGAATGGTTTTCAGATTGAGATATATAAGGTGTGAGGTTTGAAGCATGATATCTGTATTTTAAGTGTAACTCTAGCCGGCAATTTGTTTTCATTCTTTGCGTTCCAAAAGGGAATATAAAGCTTCAGGCTTTGAAATTTCAGTAATGGTGACGTTATTTTATGTGGTGGGGTCGCTAGTCTCACATGCAACTTTCCCTCTTTCCTGAGCTTACTGTCGACTAGTATACTAGGTGATGTTTAGGAGTGCTTTGGCTGGGAATCAGACCCTGACCTAGCAAGTGGTTGGCGAGCATACTAGCACTGAACCATGAGATGTATAGCAGACAATTAGGAAACCAGTGAAAACCAGGGAGTAGCGGACAGCTGTTTCGTCCAAGCTTGAAGCTCTGTGGCAGTATGCACCCATTGAGGTTCAAACATAGGACCTTCTAGTTACAAGGCAAACGTATATACCATTCAGCCACTGGGACAGGATCCAATAGTCCATAAATTCTGACTTCTATCAATTCGCGATTTGTAGCACCGCCACTAGCCCATGTCATCGGCCAGTATTTGTACTTTCGCCTGACCTGATGGATCACACTGGTCACGACCTCTCACTTGAACTCCAGGCAACTTCGTCCTGTAACCAATCACTGGTGAGCATCAAATTAATTTTAATGAGCGTGAAGATAAATACTCGCCGATGGCACTGTCTCATAGTCACGCTAAAATCACAAATCGGCAGAAGTTAGAATTCATGGGCTATCGAATCGAACCCCAGTGGCTAAAGGGTCTACAAGAACGCCTTGTAACCAGAAGGTCCTAGGTTCGAACCACGGTGAGTGCCTACTGCAGACGAGTCACAAGCTGGAAGGAAGCAACTCTCCGGTACTCCCTTGTTTTCAATGGTCCTCTAACTGATATCGATCCGTGACCAAGTGTGAAACAAATCAAATCCCTACAATTTAGCCCTTGAAGAGAATTAGAAGCCTGTTGAAAAGAATGAAAGACAAACAGAGATTAGCAAGTGACTGTGACACTAAGGTATAGTTGTAATGTGATGAGAAGTGATACGGATTGTAATTTTAAGGGAAAATAGAATAAATAACAAGTTTTTGAATAAGCGTAACAATCAACTGAAAATTCTTTTGTAGCAAGGAAGTGGTGTGAAATCCAAGATAAACGTGTTTTTATTAGATGTGGTATAAAATGTATAAAATACAGTTAGTGGAGCATGTAAATTTAGTGTTAAATCAACCATAAATATGATAAAAATATACTTTTAAAAAAAAACTGGTTAACAGTTTTGAAATAAGTTATGCTAAACTTACTAATAATTATGTTCTTTTAAATACATAAATATACTTTGAATTACTTGCTTTTAATAATGCCCAAAATGATTTGCAAATTTATTACTTGTAGATTTTTCGTAGGGGATTGTAAAGCATTTATCTAATGTTAATTATTAATTAGAGATTTTACAACTGAAAGTATTCAGTCTTCTTAATCCGGTTTTAATCAAACAAATTGTTTGTCCCCATCAATGACCTGTTACGGCCAAGAGGGGATAGACTTCGGTTTTCCTATCGAAATTCACTCTCATGTGGCCATGCATTCATAGTTCTGCCAGGTAAGCCTATTCACCACCTTCCGTGAAGAGGGTGTTCGTCAAAAAAGAATGAAAGAGATAATGAGGATGTCTGGCGCTTACAACTGGATTGATGGACATGTTGGTCTATCTACGGGGAGCTGGAAAACCCTGATTTCAAATCTATGGTGTACATGGGCTCTAGAATCAGAATGAATGGAATGGCGTATGAACCTGTCTTGGTTACTGGAAATCATGGGAACGCTGTTGCACTGTCTCGTGGATCAGACTTCAAGCCAAAGACTCAGGGTGTGGTCCTTTAAGACAGCCACCTTCTTCTGGGCCTGGGCAGTACCCCAGTGCATCTGTCACCTCCCAAAATGTGTCAAATTTATGTTTTAATAGTAACAGTACTAATCAACCAAAGACCTGCAGATTCTCATCAAGTACTCGGCAAAACTTTAGTATCGATAGCCATCATAAAATGGATGTGTTTCATTTTCTAGTGTCTGAGTGCGCATGTGATGACTGACTTACCGCGCGTTTTGAACCCATTCACTTACAGATTGATCCGTAAGAGTTCCCACCGACCGAGGATCCAGTATGAAGCGTAATGAATTTACATAACTTGTCTTAGAATGTCATTTCTCTTTTTAAATTCTATATTCACTTCTCAGCCGATTTACTGATAGACCATATGTAGACTCTCTTGAAAAATGTGATATGATGTGATGTGTATGCGCGTGTGCATTTGTTCAGACTTCAACCTCTCCTAGTGCATAAATTTTTAGATGCACTATAGTTTACCATTTATGTCACATAGGGTAAAATACCATCCTGTTTAGTTTACGTATTTTTAGGTGCAGTGCACATAATTCGAAAATTTTGACTGTTTTATTTTTGTATAAATCTCTTAAACTGACATATTATGCAAGAGATTATCGATCGAAGTGTCTTTATTACGAATACTGTTTATTGTGGAGTTTGTACGTAGGTGTATATGTGTGTGTGCACACACTAAATAAGACTGTAATTAACTTTAATTCTCTATCTATTTTTATTAGATATATATATTAAGTGTGGTGCATTTCATCGAGTATTCTTAAAATTGGACATTTAATGCCTTCAACTTTCATCATGTTCACTTGTTTTTCTGTTTTAAACTATCTCACTGAATTTTATTGTCCTCTAGAATACGGTCCTTTTCAATTCCTACATGTTTAAAAGTGGAAGTGGTATAGTCTTTATGCGTATTGTTAGGAGTTACTGAATTAATCTCTGAATCGTGGCCAAATTTTACTCTGTCTTGCATTTCGTTTTTCCCGCTCTTTTCAGAACTGTTCTCTTTCTTATTGGCTGTTAAAACTTAGTTTTTTAATGTTCTGAATTTTAAATAAGGTTGAAGTTGATGTATATTTATTTATTTTTATTTTAATCCTTTGTGTTCCGAGTGGAACATAGGGCTTCAAGCTTGAAATTCGAAGTTTCAGTAGCAGTGGTCTTTATTTTTACGCCGTAGGATTGCCAGTCTCATGCTCAACCTTTTTCCTTTATCAGGCTTACTACCATCTAAGCGACGTGTTGGAGTGAGTGGGTCAGGGATCGAACCCCAGACCACGTCCGTAGTTGGCGAATATTCTACCGCCGAGCTACGGACACAATGGATGTTAGCACTATGTATATTCAAAATTATTCTTTTACCAAGACAATGAAAGCTCTCCACTAGGTATCATTTTTTCTTTTCAATGATTACATTATTTCAGGTGAGACCACGGACTGATATCAGTCAGACAACCATTGAAACCCAGCTGGGAGTACTGGACAGCTGTTTCGTCCTAATTTGGGACTCATCGGGAGTACGCACCCACTGCATTTGAACCGAAGACCTTCCGATTACGGGGAAAGCTCGCATACTATTCAGCCACTGCAACCCGACTCAATGGTCCATGAATTTTAACTTCTACCGATTCTTGATTTTAGCGTGACCACTAACCAGTGTCATAGGCGGGAACTCCATCCCGGTGAGTGCGTACTGTCGATGAGACCCAAACTAGGACGAAACAGCTGTCCAGTACTCCCTGCTGGGTTTCAATGGTTCTCTAACTGATATCAATCCGTGGTCTAACCTGAAATAAATCAAATCCCTACAAACTAATTCTTGAAGATTACATTATTGGTAGTTAATATTCGGCTGGTATGGTTTACTTTACTTTCGATTAATGCGTTTATATCGAATCGTTTGCTTTGTGTTTACATGTCAAAAACTTCTTTCATAGTCTAATCTATCTTAGTTGTATTCAAGACAGATGGAAATGCCTATGTGATCTTTTTCATCTAATTCTTGTCTTTTCTTTTGTTTGATTGATTTTTTTGTCACTTCTCGTTTTGATAAAATCTAAGTTTGTTCTCCTGCTGCACTTCTTGTCGTTCCTGAAGACAAAATCATTCGTTTGTTTTATTTTCATAGCATTAAGGGTTCTCTTGGACACTGTTGACTCCTGAGCAATACAGTACAATGTTTACCAATAGGCTTCATTGTATTTCTTTTGAAAAAGATTGGATTATGAAGCATACACACTTTAAACTCGTTCCTAAGTGTGGATCTACCAGTATTAAGAGTAAAGTAGACGAATGTGCATTGAGAATGACATATTAAATAAGGATAATGCTGTTGGATGTCAGCAATGATACAGAAGTTCTAAAAATGAAATCTGTTATCTACTGACAACCCGTCATATATCTTTAATTTCTTAAACATGTTGTTGCATTTAGATGAGTTAGTTGACTATTAATGACAACCAACTACACCACCAGTTTTCTGCAGGTGCAGAAATGATAAAGGTAGACATGGTATGCTTGCTGAAGTTGGTCAGTGATTTCAGTCTGATTACTGTTTGAGAGTTATTACTTGTGATCGTTAGATGACGGATCACATGAAGTAAGCAGTCACTGTCACTACTACAGCTTTTTGTTAGTCATAAGTTTAGCTATTTAGTCGTCAGCATTATTTCTGTTCTAACTGTTTATTTTATTTTTTTAGAATTTGCGGGTACTCGAGGGAAACCAGCTCTTGCTCATCGAGACTTGAAACCATCAAATATATATATTCGGTCGGATTGGTCATGTTGTATCGGTGATATTGGATTAGCTGTTCGGTCCCCGCCATGTCCATTTCCAGTCCCGGTAGATCGACTGCATATGCTTTACCATCAGTATGAAAATTACTCGACAAAGTATTCACATTCAAACAGCCAGTCGTCTGAAATTCATTCTTCAAAGAAGACTGAGGTCGACTTCCCATTTGTAGACCGTTCACCTAATGCTGCTATACAAAAAGAAGCTCTATTGGCAACTAATAATCGAAATCGACTTCATGAGTCTTGCAGTCAGAATACAGGATCTTCAGACAAATGGAGTTGTATTTTAGAGGATGCTGTGGATAAATCTCGTTTTGATAAATTAGACCTTTTAAACTGGTGGCCAATCGGAGGAATTCAAATTGGCACTCCTCGTTATCTTGCTCCAGAGGTAAATTTAATTGCTCGTATTTTACTCTTTATTTATTCATCTCTCTGTCTGTGTACAATAAAAAAAATCAGTCGATTTAATCGTAAATATTACTCTACCCCTTTTTTTTAAGGAGTGGCTAGACTAGTTTTTCCTTCTTCCTAATTATTACAAAAATTACCACAGTTTGTATTTTATTTGTATTTAGTTACTGAAAGTTATAGCTGAGAAGCCAGTCATCGATGGTGATGATAAGATTGACTAGTCTGATATTATGTTGATATGATAACATCAGTATTTGTATATTAAAGCAAAATTGTTTTTAGGCTAAGAATGTTTTTGTTTGTGTTCGCCGGAGAGTGTCTACCCGCTGCTTGGTTATAGTCTTCTGTTTGTACAACCTTCTCCTTAATGATGAAATGTGAGCAAAGTAAAGCAATCTTTAGTTATCCACTCTTCTTTCCCTTCATTTTACAACTACTGGTATTTATATCTATCACATTATCAATTGTGCATTTGTAATATATATTTAATAAATGAATTGTATGTCAGTTACCGCGTCTATATACGTACTATAAACTGTAATTCACACACTTTGAGAATGTTAGTGACTTTATCTAAATCAACAGTCCTACAGAATTCTCACCATTTACTACTAACTTAGCCAACAATTAATAAGAATGGTAAAAAGGGAAATAAGCCGATATAAGTTTCTTGTTAGTTTGACTGATAATGAATGTTGTAACACTAAATTTGAAATTCCACAGGATGTAAAATGTTGCTGATTGAAGCTTTGGGGGAATAATTGTAATACTTCTTGGGTGTATAGTTCACTACTTAGTCTTTCTAGAGTGGAACACTATTGTGCAGCAGTGTAAGAGGAAATCATCCTTTGCCAAGATCCCCGCCTCACTTTTGCACCGAAGATAGATACATTGAGTAAGGCGTTAGAATCCTTCAGAAACACTCTGATTAAGAATGGATATCCAACCTCGTTCATTGATAAACATTTAAACAGAAACCTGGAAGTACTGAAGAAATAACTAATTTCGAATCTAAAATTCAAGGGCGATGCAATTATCGAAGTCTTCCGGTGGCGTTTGTCGAAAGCAATTCAAAGAACGTTATCTGATGCATACCTACACCTCACCTCTATGCATGTTCATTTTCACCAAAAAGGTCAAAGATAAGATCTCATCATTGGCAACTTCAATGTGTATTTACCAATTCACTTATTCCTGTGGAGTTAAGTACATAGGTCGTACCAGCAGGACAATTTCTAGACGCTCTCATGAAAGCCTGCCAGTGTGGTGTTCAAAAAAGAACGTAGAACAGTCAACAGCTCATTATTACTCCTTGTGATTCAGCATCAGCACAGACGTCATTCAGAGTCACATATAAGGAGTAAGATCAAGCCGTTCAAAAATATTCTCTTGCATCTTCTATCTACAGCTGAAGCTCTTGTTATTCATAAGGAAAATCCTGAACTTTGTTTTCAGAAATATTTTATCCAGCCTATGTTACTATCATAGCCATGGTGTCAATTTTATTTTCTTGATTTGTTGCATAATAAAGTCTGCGTAACTTTTTATTTTTCCACTGTTGTGGTGACCCGATTTAAATTCTTCGTGTTCTTGATTCCTATCAATTATTTCCAAATAGCGTTTCATTGCGTAACTGGTCATTCGCTAAGTTTCGAGATTACTTAAGATTATTCATTGCTTTCACACATTACTATTTCTCAAAGACTTTGATTTACTTTTGTTACGAGCCAACAGTAACCTCTGACGTTTGTTGGAAATTAACATTGTACACATCAGCCCCTAGATAACTGTGCGGATTTGAAGAGAAGTTACGAGAAGAGGTCTCTTTGCTAACTTTTGTCCTTAATTGACATCGCATGGGTAGTTTTCGAAACTTAAACCTTAAATAAATCATGTTCTGACCAAATTGCAACTCTACGCATCATCATCAAACAAAGCATGGAATGGCAATCAAACCTCTACCTCAACTTTATAGACTTTGAGAAGGCCTTCGACAGCGTTGACCGCGAAGTAATTTGGAAACTACTCGAGTACTACGGCGTACCCCAAATATTCATCAACCTTATTCAACAGCTGTACGACAACGGCACATGTCAAGTGATCCACAACGGAAAACTCAGCGAGGCGTTTGGAGTAAACACAGGAGTCAGACAAGGGTGCTTATTATCACCAATGATATTCCTAATTGTGGTGGACTGGATTATGCGTCAGACAGTGGGAAACGAGAAGACAGGGATATCCTGGACCGACGCGAAGAACCTAGAAGACCTGGATTTCGCGCGTGGATGATTTATGTTTGATGTCACACAAAATCGAAGACTTACAAGCGAAAACCGACAAACTGGTCGAAGAGGCTGGCAGAAAAGACAGGACTCCAGGTGAACATAGACAAGACGGAGGTTATGAAAATAACCAACCAACAACAACAACAGCAACAGCAACATCCAGCGCCAATCACCATCAACGGGAGGGATTTGAAAGAGGTTACTTCATTCACTTAACTAGGGAGCATTGTCTCAACTACAGGAGGAACGGACAAAGATGTCAAATCGAGAATCGGGAAGGTGAGAAACACATTCATCAACCTGAAACCAATCTGGAAATCTTCCGCTGTCACTCACCATCAACAACAAAATTCGGATTTTCAATACAAACGTCAAGTCAGTTTTGCTATACGGATCAAAAAAACTTGGCGGGTCACAAAGAATATTTCCAACAGCCTGTTGCAGACCTTTATCAACAGCTGTCTTTGCTCTATACTGAAGATCAGATGGCCGGAAAGAATCACCAACAAGAAACTACGGGAAGGAACAAAATAAGAACCAATCGTCCAACAAATATGCAGGAGAAAGTGGAGATGGATTGGACACTCGCTGAGGAAACTGTTGGGTGACATCGCGCGTCAGGCCAGTGCTCGAGTGGAACCCGAAAGGGAAGCGACGAGTGGGACGTCCAAGGGTGACATGGAGGAGATCGTGTGAAGAAGAGTTGAAACAGTATGGACTAACATGCATGCAGGTGAAAAGTACAGCAGAAGACAGGAGCAAGTGGAGACGTGTAGTTGAAGCCCTATGTTCCACTAGGAACCCAAGGGAACAATAATAATAGTAATAAACCTTAAATAATATGACTCATAGTCGATAGCATCAGTGTATTTTCATCAATGCATTGTATTTGTCTTGATTCTAATAAGGCATTCCACATTCGCTGTATCGTTCCTCTTTTTCTGCCTCTAAAATCTACAGTCAAGTTATTTCCACTTACAAGTCTCCATTTTTATTGCTTTTTTCTTAATATGCAGATATGATGTCTCCTAGCCTGTTGTATTTTATCAACTTACTGCTATTTTATTTATCTTTATGCGGAATTATTTAGCTTCACGTTTTTTTACTATTGTTTATTTCAGCTATTGTCCAAATCAATCAATCCATTTTGCTTTGAATCTTATCAGAAATCTGATATATACGCGTTATCTTTAATTTTATGGGAGATTGTCAATTGGGCATTGCCTAAATCTATCTGGTCAGATCAAGATACCTTTGATACAGCTCACCTGATGACCGGTTGTTCATCATCCAAGAGACAGTCATCAGCTGATTCAATGAGTTTAACTAATTCTAATTCATCACTTATATCTAAATCACAAAATGATAGATATTCATCAGTTTACTTACCAGTTTATCAGAATGAATGGTTAAAACTATTAAAGTGTACACGAAATTCTAGTGATGCGGTTGACATACTGAAATCATTATCATCATCATCTTCAGATTTGCTACACTGCCCACTAATACAATCTTTTATCTGTCCTGATTCAGTTCTAAGTACATCTGATGGATACACGGGTAAAGTTGACGCATCAAATTATTTAGTGGAAAAGATTCTAGTGAATGAACAAATAAAAGTAAGTTTTCTCACATCGTTGTTCTTAAACGTCAAATTTTATTGTCTTTGTGTTTTAGAATATCTAAATCCTTCCATTTATTACCACCTCTCTTGATAAATAAATTTTCCTTCATCATTTGGCTTTCCCCCTTGTTGTGTATTGTAATCTTCATTTATTTTTCCAGTATGCTAGTCATTTTCTCATTTGATAACTACTAATGCTTATTATATTTATCAAGAGTTAGTTTGTAGGGATTTGATTGGTTTCATTTAGAGAATTCTTGAAACTCAACAGGGAGTACTGGACAGCTGTTTCCTTGTCGTTTGGAATCCATCAGCAGTGCGCATCCACCGGTGTTTGAATCCAGGATCTTCCGGTTACAATGGAAGCTCCTAGACTATTCATAGGTCACTGAGTCGGGTCCCAATGGCTGAATGGTCTAAGAGCTTGCCTTGTAACGAGTATGTCCCGGGTCCGAACCCCAGTGGGTGCGTACTATGGATGAGTGTCAGACTAGGATGAAACAACTAATTACAAATATATTTGTCTGCCACTTTAAATTAGCTACTCACCTCCCAGAAAATTGACTAAGTGTGACATTGTCTCTTCATAAATATTCGAGCCATAGTTAGTTTCATTTAAGACTAGATTAGATTTACATTGATCATTATAGAGTAAATATTGTCTATTGCTGAATAAGAATTAACCTGATTCTGTCAGTGTGGTTAACGTCCTGAGGAACTGGTTATCGTCCCACTGTCTGCTAAATGGTTAGTTGACTAGAGCCTGTCAGAAAGCGGCATGCTTCTTCTACTTACACCCTGCCTGATAACTGAGTTTGTCAACGTTTATTCTAATGTACAGTTTAAAGAACGCAGTACACTGACGAAGGTTCGTTGTAATGAGTAATGCAAAACTGTTATCAGTTTGTAGTGTGCGACAGATTTTAGAACTATTCGAATGAATTCCTCTCACTGCTCATCAGGTACAAGAAATTTTGATTACCTTGTATTTAAGGGGAACTCGTATCGACACATTAGTGTACCATTTCATATAGTGATTTATCTGTCTCCATCTACCCAATTATTAGTAGTATTATTTTCTGTGAAAGAGAGAGAATGGATGCCACAGCATCAAAGTAGTACGTTTTGCTATGTATCTACTGAAACGCAAACCTGATAGGATATGAGCTCCAGAAAATGAGTCACACAAAATCTCATAGTTTGTGCGAGGGGTCGGGTAGTTACCTTAAAGAGTCTTTCACCTGTAGCCCAATCCACAGGCCAGCGCAATTGCATCCCCATGGTTTCCGCACACCATTCAATCCTTTCGGAGCCAGCGTGCACCATAGGTGTATAATCAACTCCCCGTAGATAGACTAACACATCCACCAGTTCAGTTGGAAGCACCACATGTTCACATATGCCTTTATTTGTGACCACCGCATGAAGGCAATGAACAAGACTTACCTGGGAGAGACTGTGAATGCGTGGCCACATGAAAGTGCATTTCAACAGGAAGACCGAAGTCCTCCCTCTTCTTGGCTGCACAAAGTCGTTAGTGAGGACAAAGTAATACGTTAAAAAACCATAAGTTGCTGTCTATAACTGGAGTCTTTGAAATATAACAAATGAACATAACTGTAACACATATATGAAACGCATACATAAATTCCATGTTTTGACAGTCCGAAAAATGGTTAAACAAGGTATCTTTTAGTTTACTCCAAATCATGAACACAGAATTAATTTACTTGTGAGTATTTCAATTTCAAAGTGGTATTTTAGACATACATATGAGAGTATAGTCATGTGTCAGTAAACGTTTAAGTTAAGTGAGATGTAATATATGTATGTGGGTGGGTGTTGTAATGGAATTTTCCAATGTGATGATACTGGAATGTGTGTTTTTGACTAGTGTTTCATCATCATGGTTGGTCGAATTCTATTCATTAATATTTAGCATAACAATAACAGCTATAATCATTTTAAGGTTTCATTATCTGAAGAATACACATTGGATAATAGGAGAAATTAAAAAGACGGTTGCAGTGAAAAGAATTTTCTTTTCCGAACTTCTTGTTTCTTTCTGTTATTATTACGTGTTTAATCCCTATTTGTAATCTTATTATTCGTTATAATTTGACCCTCGACCGGAAACAGTTCTGGAACTTTCTCACCCTTCCCTTTATCACATATAAACGAATGTACAGATTAGTTTCATAATTCACCTTCCTTTGGTGTTTTTTTCTGTTTCAGAATATGGAACCAGATCTACAGACAATGTATCATTTAGTGTGTGAACAACAAGTGAGACCTCGTTTACCCTCATCAGTATCATCGTCGTCATTTCCAATGAAAATAGCTGATACAATACTACCTATTGATTATTACCCACAATATATTCAATCGCTTGGTCAAAACATGAATACACATGTTGTACAGTTACACACTGACAATACTACTACTACTACTAATAATAATAATACCAATAATATGGATGCTATTTGTGTAAATAAAGCACTAAGTAAGTAGAGATTGGTTTCCTCAGTTATTTCTTCCTCCGAAACAAAAAGTTTTTAAAAAAAAGGTTTATTTGGGCATGGTATTCATCAGTGTATGTTTTTGTTATTCACTGTACAACTCTGAATATGCATGTGCATTGTATTTATTTTTGTTAACGATAAACAGTATTTATGTTTAATGTCTATAGTCAGAAAATGGTCGATTGTTGCTGAAGTGGTGGAGGGTTTTTACTGGATTTTAAACTTATGGAGGTCTACTTATATGAGATTGTAACTGTTAACTGTTTTCTTGTCCAAATCTAGTGGTTATGGTGTTTGGTCAGATTATACTTGTTTGATTGTCATCTCTGTGGTCTGTTTTTATTTTGGCTTGTTTTTTTTAGTTTTCACTTGTTTTTGTTTACTTAATGCATAATTTTTCCACATGTTTTTCACCCAGTATACAGGGTATCTTCAGATTGTTTATACTATGTTGCTTTGATGGGATGGAAAGTTTTTAAGTCGATAAAATATCCCGGTATGAATGACACTTTTGTGTTTTATGTTTATCTTGTGCCTTATTGATTTTAATGGTAGCCTGTACTTTGTATGGGTTTTATATTTTCTACTTTTGAGGGTGGCATGGTGGGGAGATCATGTGAGGAGGCAGCTAAAATGGACTGCCGAGAACAGAGTAAAGTGCAGATGTACCCCAGCTGAAACCCTGTTTTCCACTCGGAACCCAAGTGAATTATAGTATTACTTTTTGTGGTTTTGGAAAGACTGTAGGTTTACGTGTACTCTTGACTAGAACGGTAGTCAAATGTTTGATTTCTCTGACTAATGGGGACATTGTGATTCACATTAGGCAGTTTTCTGATGTGGACTACAACATATTCATCAAATTCTTATTGTTGGTCAGATTTTGCAATACGAATGTACAGGTGCTAGGCAATCAGAGTATTCATTAACTTAACGGTGATCAATCTGTTTTATTACAATCTCTGACTACTATAGGCTTTGTAATAAAACTGACAGTTAGGCAGGTATTCACAGAGGAGTCAGAGATGTAGGCAGTGTTAATGGCTAGCGATATCAACACTTGTCATTCATATATGTCGTTATTGTAGACATTTTAATTTAGTTATTTTATATTCTACTTTATGTGGATAGGTAACTTATAGTACTCAAAAAACTTGTTAGGGGTTCTTTTAGCTTTTGAACTGCTGAGTGTTAAAAACTTTTTCAAGACCGAAAACTTGATATAATACGCATATGCTGAGGGAGTTACAGAAAAATTGTCTGTATAAAGTACTTAAGACTAGCATCTTTTAACTTCCTCATGAAGTGTTAATTAGTGGAGAGAAAAACAACGTAATCTACTCAACAGGCTGATTTCTTTCTGTGTTAAGGATAAGATGAAGGACATCAACAGACTACTACACTCCTTCCAGATTTCAATGATTTATCAACTCACTATATTGTCAAGGGAAATGTTATTTCAACTAAAATACTTTGTTATCGAAGAAAGATACGACAGATACAATTTATGAAGTTAGTCTCAAGGATTCTCCTTAACAGTTATAATTAATCATTCCAGCTAGCGGGTGACTAACAAACTTTTGAACAGGAACTGGTAATAGTATCATGGTTGTGATTACACATGGACAACTGAAAATCTGGGTGAATAAATGTCGAACTGTTGTGGCATTCAGACTCAAGCGAAAACCACAGGTACACAGACATGTGGGTTTTGAGGTAGTGTACAGTTTACTTAAGAAGAGAAGTGTCTTTCAACCAATTAGAGAAATTAACCAGGTAAACGAATAATGTAGTATGATGTCTGTAATAATTTTCTCACTTTTCTCGATACGACTTTTAGTCAAACAATTAAATAGTAATGGGATTAGGGGGGAAAGATTTGCAGCATTGATATTTTGGCTTCAGTTACAAGAAAAAAACTACCTCAACATTCATTCGATTCATGCTATTGAGCAGTTAATACTAATATTACCATGTATCTTATTGTTGAAATGATCACCATCATATATTGAATCGTTGATGTTAGATAGTTGGAGGCAATCGGCAGGAAGCCTTGGCTGCACCTAGCTTTCGTGCTAGTTGGCACTCACTAGTCAGCAAGGTGTATCTGTAACCTTGAAGGAAATCATGTCCCTTCTGGGACTCGAACCCTCGTCACCTAGTGCTGCAGTCAGAGACGCTACCATTGAGCTATTCGCGCTCGCGATTGACCTCCTGTAACACTGTTTTGGATACTTTGATTGGAATGATCAGCTATTGTTATTCCTATTCAGAATTAAAAATCTCTCATACTATCTCTTCAGTATCGATTATTATAATATTATTAAGTTCAAAGTGGAAAATAGGGATTCAGCAGCATATCTCCATTTCATCCTGCTCTCTGTAGTCCTCTTTAGCCGGCTGTGCGATCATCACTCATAGACCTTCGTCTCCTCCTCGCGCGATCTCGTCCATGTCACCGCTGGATCCCGGTACAACTTGTCGTTTACCATTCGGGTTCCACTCGACGATCTGGTGCATAATGTCCCTCAATAGTTTATCAGCGCGTGTCCAATCCATCACCGTTTCCTTAGGCATATTTGCTGGGTGACAGGTTCTTGGTCGGTGGTTCATTGCCGGAGTTCCTTGTTGCTAATCCTTTCTGTCTATCTGATTTTCAGTACGGAACAAAGTCAGCTGTCGATAAAAATCTGAAATCCCTTATAAATGCTTTCCGTGACTCACCAAGTCTCCAAGCCATATAAAAGAACTGGACTAACATTAGTGTTGAAAATCCTAATCTTGTTCTTTATGGTAGAGTGCAGCAGATTTCCACATTGATTTCAGATCAATGAAGATCTGTGATTATTCTTGGGATCCAGGCTTTGATATCCTCATCCATGCCGCCTTTATTTGAAACTATACTGCTTAGATAAGTGAAAGATAAGTGACTCCCTTTGCTATCAATAATTGCATACATTCAAGTTGTGTGTGTGTGTGTTAAACTGAATAATTTCAGATAAAACGAATTTATTTGAACTTGTTTACTATACAGTTATTCCGACAAAAGAAATTTCTCAGCACTACCACATTTTCTGCATACCAAAGTAATAGAATAATAATAATATAACAATAATAATAATAATGGTTACAATAATGTTAATGTATTAACATTAATCTAAAAAATAATATTTTAGTAGTAAAGTTTTAATTACAGCTGTGATTCATATTTTTTTTTATAAATGGGATGTTTTTTCAGACTTCATGTGAAATATCCATTTCTTATTCTATAGCCTTCCCGTTTTTAATAGATCGACTCGACTGTGGGAGGTAAAATTGTTAACAGAGAATGGAGGTTCGATATTTTGGTAATTTTTCGATTAGATGACTTTAAAAAGGACGTTCTCCTAATAATGGTGAATGAGTAAAAGCTATTCATGTATAGATTGTTTGAGATAAACTCTATTGATAATCTCATCTATGTGAACTTGATTCATCTATACAGTACAAAATGTATTTTTATGCAGTCAGATCCTCTATTTAGATAATTATTATCTTATCATAATTTATTCATCATAATTATACTCATGTACGATAATGTTAGTGTGTTGGAAGTATGGCATCAGCATGGACCTAATGTATTACCATATAAAATCTAAAAATCTATTTAAAGATTGATCACAAACTCACTTTATTTAGAGCACCATTGAAAACGAAGGAGTACTAGACAGCCGTTTCGACACTGTTTGTGACATTTCAGTAGTACGCAGCCATGTCATCAGAAGGGATCGAACTCAGTACCTTCATGTTATAAGACGAGCTCATTGACCACTCAACCAATGAAACGGAATCCGGTGGCTGACGAATTCTACCAATTCACGATATATATAATGTATAGCGCGACTGCCAGTCACTGTTATCAGCGAGTATTTCTCCTTACACCCAATTTAAGTGAACCCAGCTGGTCGGGACTTCTCACTAGAACTTCAAGCAAATTCATTCTATATTCAGTCACCTTTGTGCATTATTGAAGAGTCCTAAACAGAGACAAAACAGCCGTCTAGTACTCCGTGGTTCTCTAACTAAAGTCAGTTCGTGACCAGTCTTGAAATCAGACAAATCCCTGAAAGTAAACACTTAAGAAAATCATTTATTCAAACAAATATACTACTTAATGACTTCAGTTCAGTTGTCTAGAGCTTCTGTTGCCATTTCATGAATCCACGTTGGAAACCTTCGCCTGCTGTATGCATCGTTCACGGTTGAGTAGACAGATCTTTGTATATTTACGGCATTGTTCTTAATCTTACACCTTATACATTTTGTTTCTCGACTGAGAAACCATATGTAGTATGTTTTCATTTCTTTTTGAGCTCTGTGTGTTCCAGTCGAGGTGTTTTTATTTGTGTCTCATGAGGGGGAGGGGAGAGGCTTGTTTTTTATTCCTGCACACACACATACACACGCACGCATATTGACACTCTTTATGTAGATTTTGTTTTCGATCTACTTTGATGATCAGATGATTTGGAGAGACTTATGCACACATTTGCCCTATAGCCTAAATTAGACAAGAAATGTTATGATTGTTTTGAAAAATGAGTGTTTAGCATGTTTACATGTAGATAGATATAAAGCTTATTAGACTAGTGTCTTTGGTAGGATATTTTTATACTCTTCATGTAGGTCTATGCTTTCATTTCCCTTCGTTTTGTTATTTCTCCGTCGTGCCATTCTCATATTTTTTTTTGGTTGTTGCTAAAATTCTATTTTATCATTTTCCGTTTTATATTTTATTTATTGGTTTGTGTGTGTGCACGTGATAAGTCTTTTATCTAGGTGTTTTTCTTTTTAAATATAAGAAATTTCAATTTTTGTTCATCAATTAATATTGTTTGATATTTCTATGATATATAAAGAAGTGAATACTGAGTCGTTTTCTGTCGTAGTTTTACACCGCTTCGCGCATAAGCAAACATAGACCTGTTCCTTTTTGTTTGTGTGTTTGTTTGTTTGCAGTATCCAGTATGCTTATAAATAGGTTAAGGAAGTCATGTCTAGTTAGAATTTTGTAGAATATGGGACCATAGTTTTATGTGTAGATAACCCACCTAGCATTTTACAGGTTCCAATCACACTCTATAGATAGCTAGATGTTTTCTCAAGACGTTTCGAGTACTAAGCACTCGTTAGCATCTTCATCCACAAGGATTCTGTCTTCAGCAGGATCTTTCCTCGGTAAAAACGTGGGTTCTGGGATCTCATCCAGTCATTCGTCTATCATACGATTAAATAACAAATGTGGTATAGGGTATCTCTTAAAGATATCACTGATTTTCTTCGCTTCATACTATTGTGAGTCTGCGTACTCGGGACTACCTTCATAGTCGAATATTACCATTATACGTCTCGATTGGGGGAGTGGAATGTTGACTTCACTTAAAAATAACTGACAAATGTGGGATAGCGATAAATATATTTCTATTTCAGAACCTACTGAAGGATGAAATTCGGCCTTATACTTGTCTGGTTCTCAAGACACTGTTTCCGCTTAATTGCAATTAGTCTTCGAGTGACTATTGATGCTGCAATCCTACATATTATGCTTGTCACTGCTGAAACAATAATTAAACTACACTTAAGGGTACCATTGTCCGTCGGTGGCACAGCGGTAGGATGCTCACCGACCACGCATGTGGTCTGGGGTTCGATCCCCAGCCAATGCACTCCCTCACCTCGCTAAGCCAGTAATATGACTGGTAAGCAGGGAAGGTTGGAAATGAGGCTAGCAACCCCATCCCGTAAACTCCACTGCTACCGAAACTTCAAGCCTCTAGCTTGAAGCCCTGTGTTCCACTGGGAACGTGAAGGGATAAAAAATAAATAAGAGTACCATTCGTTGATGCCTTGTTATGAAGGAAAGGTGACGTATCATATGAGTGATGTGTCCACCGAATTCCCTTGTGTAATAAACAAAAATCTTTTTTGTTAAACTCTTATAAAGAAGAACTTTTGTTTTGCCTTTCGCACCCGAAAAATCCTCATGTACAACATGCTGACTTTTCTCAAAGTCACGTACTCCAAAGTAGTCGCGATTAAACTTCATAACCAGCATTAAGAAAGACTTAAATTGAAAATTATGAGAGTTTCTGTTCATTAATTTGAAGTTTTTGTGTACTCGTCTTTTGGAATCTGTCACGAAACTCTGACCAATGTCAAAAACTTTCAATGGAATCACTTCCTCTTTTGCTGTCTTATTGTTTCTAACATCTTTTCAATGAAACTAAATCACTCACTATTTTCTTAGTTCACTGTCTTCATAAATATGTTGTGTAATAGGATATTACTTCTTTGTTTTTTGTTATTTCCATGGCTTTATGAGAGTAGTGAGAAAAATCATTCTAAATTAATTTATTACATGTGATAATGTCACAGTGAACTGAAGTTTTCACTACATGTACAGTCTATTTCTCGTCTAAAATTAACACCAAAACATTTTGACTTGGCATTGATTTAATCTGGAAGATATTTGAAATAGTACGCCTATTTTTGGTTCATGGTATTCAACATGTTGTTAGACTATTCAGGCTTATTTATTGTAGTGTTTTTGAACAGTTTAATAACTTTTCTGAGATTCATTTTTTGGTATTTTCTAATGACATCTAGCTTGGTCTTTTATACATGACTTTCAGGGTACTCCTATATATCTGACTAAGAGTGTAGAAAAGGTCTGGAACATAATATTAATGTACACAATTGTTATTCTATCGTGTCTACTCAAACGTTTATATAATTACTTGTGTGTATGTTGATTTTGAATGTTGGCTATGATTTTCGCATTGCTTTTAAAATTATTATTATTATTAAAACACACGAACTTGGCACATTATATGGACACTGAGAGATGCCCAGACGCCCAGACTGAAGAGGGAGTAGTCTTCAGGGACCACCTTCCGAGGCTAGGACTTAACGTCTGATCCACAAAGCAGCGCAGCAGCGTCAGAAGCTGCATTCCCATGGTTTCTGGTGATGGAAAAAGGTTCATACGCCATTTGATTCATTCGGATTCTGGAGCCAATGTACACTATAGACTTGAAGTCTGGGTTTCTTAGCTCCTGTAGGTATACCCTCACGTTCACCACTACGGTTGTAAGCGCCAGTGTTCACATCTGTCCTTTTACTGTTGTGAGGAACACTGCGGCCGTGTGAAGGCTTTGAGTCGGGGTCACTCCTCACGGACCATGTACACGTGGCCATGTGAGAGCACTCTCGTCCATATTAGGTCGTTTATGGGGGGCAGAGGATTATGCACTAGGCCACGATGTCTACATTATTTATTAATAAGTCGATAAGGTTGTTGATAATAGGTGTATTCTTGCTTATAAATCACTTTAAAATAAGAAATAATTCACTGATTCATCTGACTCACTATTCTGTATGTAATAACAACAGGCACAAATTAAGGTTTTTTTTAAATAGTACTTGAAAATCGTAACATTCATTTGTTGGAATGGAGAAATTCAAATAAGGTTTGGGAATATGGAAGAGGACTGAAGCTTTCTCAACTGCCGCCCGAATTCTTCAGCAGCTCATTTAGATTATAAGCGGGCTTTTTGTCATAAAATCCCGTTGGGTCTCAAAAGATTTTCACTCTTCTTAGAGTAAAATGTGCAAGAATGTCTCTGCGTAGTTCGTTCGCCAGATATGACAATCAGATCTTGATGTTGATGTAATAATTTTGATTGATATTCTTCACTACGGTGGCACAGTGGTTAGGACTCTCGCCGACCATGCACATGGTCCGGGGTTCGATCCCCTGCCGACGCACACCTGATATCTATGGTCGGCCTGCAAGATTTGGGCTACCGATATCTCATGCTGAAAATTTCATACCTGTACCAAAAATACGGTGTGGAATCAAGATTTATTTAACATCAGTAGAAAGTTTGTGTTGGGCATACTTTACATACATACTTTATCATCAATACAGTCCTAATCACTTCAATTATCTACTGTTTTAGGAATGTTTCTAAAAGCTCATTATTAAAACGCCGAGATAATTTTTCCCAATGTCTACTTATCTCCAAATTACGATACGTTTTTTTCTTGAATTCTTCCCATTTTTTTTCTTTTACTCTAGCTTCTGCTGTTTGTCGTGAATGCTCTTCATCTGGTGCATCATCACTACAAAGTCATCACACCAATCATGACAGTGACAATAAACGATTAACTAATCAAAGTCAATTAATGAAAATTATGAAATTACAATGTTTAATTGCTAATCAATTTGCCACTCTATTACCAGAATGTTGGGCAAGTGAACCAGACTCGCGTTTATCAGCCCTGAGAATAAAAAAGCGTGTACAGCATATTTATGAATTAGTAGATGATTTAGTCAATAAACCACCAGTGTACACTGAAATGACTGTGAATATTGAAGGTGAAAATCCTCAGTGTATTATAGACAATCTAAAGAAGTGTACAAATGACTCGTCAACACCTGTAAATACTACATGAAATATATGTAGAATGTTTTTTCGTTTTGTTTGTTTTGTAATGCTTTTTATGTTGTTGTGTTTTCTTTCAATGTTCCTCTTTTATTATTCCCGTTCAGATTGACTTTTCTTTGTTTGTTTCATATTTATACGCTTTTATAGGAGAATTTTTAGAAAACACTCCCTTTTTTCTCTATTGTACAGTTGTTATTCAATGTTATTATCACTTGACATCTTGTTCTTAATTCTCCTTTGAATTAAGTTTCAGGCATAATGTAGATAGATGTAATTTAATCCTTTAACGTATCACTTATTCTTACACTTCTATTGGTATATATATTCTCAGAATGTTTTAGCGCAGCATATATGTACAAATGTTGTATTGTTATTCTTTGTTCTTATCTAATAATAATAATAATGATAATAGTAATAATAATAGTAGGGGATTATATCACATGTAAGTCAATATTAATCCTCTTCAACTGTGGCTGTATTGTTTTAATTTTCTTTAGCTTTTCAATTCCCGTAACAACTTTATTATTTTTTTGTTGTTGAAAAAAACCATGTGGTTCGGTAACATTTTACTGTTGTCTAGGCAATTTTGTGTTTTTGTAACAGAATTAAATAATAATAATACTGATAATAAGCATAAGAAATCAGCTGTTGGAGTTGTTGTTATTGTTACGGAATTTTAGATTTTCATTTGAATATTATTCTAATTTCTTTTGAAGAGTTCGACTGCTTGCTAGATGATTGGAAGCGATCGTCAGAAAGCCTTGTACCTAGATCTCGTGCTCGTCGGTACTAATCACAGCAAGTTTTGTCTACAGTCTCATGTCCCTCCTGAGATTCGAACCCGGATCAACGAGTGTTGCAGTCAGAGACTTTATCACTGAGCTATTCGGGCTTGTGATTCATCTCCTATAGGACTATAATGGACACTTTGTTCGAACACTGGATAATAAATAACTAATATTCAGTCAAAGAACAAGTGCGTCGGAGGCACAGCGGTAGAATGCTCGCCAACCACTCAGATGGTTCGGGGTTCGATCCCCAGCCACCGACGCACTCCTTCACCTCGCTAAGCTAGTAATAAGACTGATAAGTAGGGAAGGTTAGGAATGAGGCTAGCAACCCCATCCCGTAAAAATAAATACCACTGCTACCGAAACATCAGAGGTCTAGCTTGAAGCCCTAAGTTCCACTGGGAAAGTAAAGGAATTAAAGAAAGCGAAGAACAGTTAGATTCTTTATCAGCCATTATTGTCAGCATAACTGAGTTATGTGTAACGTTGTTTGCAGTGAAGTGCGTTCAGTGCTCAATAATTAGGAAAATACCTTACTAAGACCCAAACACAGTTGAATATCAGTTTCGAAAGGATTTCTTGCAACTGTTTTACTTTATGCATGTTGCTGCAGCATACACTCATACTGTCTAGATTAAGGATCCTACAGATCCAACTAGGAAAAGTAACAATATAATTTACCAGGTATAGTGTAATGATTATGAGGTCAATTTCACAGACCAGACTAGTAAATCAGGGTCAATCAAATTATCGGAACATACGAAATCGGCTAACAATAAAAAGACTGACCCTACCAAGTCGAGTAATCTCGAATAAAGCTGGGCTGTCCCAACGCGTTCACTTGTATATAATCACACATTAGAATAGGCAGGTTGAAGATGATGAAAATTATTATTTAGTTAAGTAAAGGGCGATTAATCACTAAATTTCCGCTCATTAAATCAACACTAAACAGACTCAGTCGTAGTGTTGCAACAGCTATCCCGTATATATGGAAAATACCAATAATAAACAGAATGGAATAATATAGAGCAGATTAGAAGTTTTGTGAATAAACTGATATGATAATGAGTAATAAATTTTGCTCAAAACGTCAACCAGTTATTAATACTGTATCACCGTGTGTTATATGAAATGAACTTATCGAATTTGGAACTGCATTCTACCACAGCGCCAAAGTTCATAACAGCACACAAGTAGTTTGCGTATATGGACTTACATAACTAAAAAGCATCCGTTTTAGTGTTCTACGTGCATAGTATGTGGACGTTTGATCGTTAATTGTGATGTTCGCGGATACTCATATTCTTATAAAATCTTATGAAACCTAATAAAATGACAAACATATACAGGAAATATTTGTATTCCCTTTTCAAACTGATAGGCTGTGGTATTTCACAAGAAGCTCAGGTACTACCTGTATAGTGGAAGTATTTAAATCAAGATGCCTTCTGTCTTCTTCTTGAAAATCAGTGTTTTCGCATCGTGAAGATATTGGTGCCTAATAGTTTGTAGTCTATTCGTGGATTGGAAGCAACAGGCAGGAAACCCTGAATTAAGATTTCGTATTTATTAGTACAGACAATTCTGTGAACTCGAAGGAAGTGATATCTATTAGGAGATCTCAGTCCACGTCGTTCAGTGCTGAAATCAGAGACTTTACCACTGACCTGTTTGGGCAGCAAGTGATCTCTTGTAGGACTACAATAATTGATTGGTTGGTTCCTGGGGTGCAGCCAGTTTCCTGTGTCTAGTTCAAAGTGTTGTTGTTGATTGAATTCTATCAGATAAGTTTGCAGTGCGATCTCCAAGCTGCTTGACTCACCATTGCAAATCACTTGAAATTATTATTGAGTAGTTAGGGGGAACGGCAGTAATCCACAAACAAGGATTTCGTGCCTAATGCTGTTCGTCAACCAATCTCAGTTAGTAACTGACACATGAGACTAGTTGATTGACTGAGTTTAAACACTGAACTTTTCATAAAAGTGCAGCAGTTCAGGTTGCTACACTCCATGTAGTACACAAGGTAGAGAAAAGAGAGAAAAAGAAGAACAAACAAAGCTTAGTAAAGAGAAATGTGAGGGAGAAAGACTAGTAACATGGGAAAACATGAGCACTGTCCAACGTGGTTAGGTAAGGGAGTTTTAAAGTCAATCAGGGGTTCCATTATTGGCAAAACCTCAATTTCCTAAGTCTGTATGTCTTAGATTGCTTAGTCTAGCTGAGGCATTTGCCATAAAAAATTTTCAATGCAATCTCTATGTTCAGAAAAAGTGTGCTCAATCCCTTTCCCTCCTATTACCTTCAATCCCAACCACGAACAGCTGTCTCTCCCGGTAGCACCGGATAACTGCAAGTATCATTTTTATTTGTGTTGCTGACTTTATTATCACTACCGTACTGTGCTCTAGTTGAATATTTTAACCTTAGTTTCACAATTTATTACTATTCCACTTACATTCTATTTGATTATACCTGATTTTATTGATCCACACTGTTTCAAATGTCTGTGACTAATATTTTATCATGTAACTTTAAAGCCTGATGAGAATTTACCGAAATTACGGATTTAATTGCTTAAATCAGATTCTATAGTTATCACAATGGGAATATTTAAATATAGGACATCACAAAGAGTGAATGCATCTGCGCCACTGAGAGTAGTTTTCAGCCGTATCGTCAATCGTCTACACTCATTAGTCCTTAACATCCCGGGGACCCCAACAAGATAGTTTATTATATTATTATTATTGTATCCTTTAATTCCTAGAGGAATATAGGGCTTCAGCCATGCGTCTCCATTGCGTTCGGTTCTCTGCTAGAGTCTTCACCTGGCTCCATGTCTGCCCACACGTTTTCATCTCCTCTTCACATGACCTCCTCCAAGTCACCCTTGCACTGACGACCAACTCGCCGCTTCCCTTTCGGGTTCCACTCGAGCAATGGCTTGTCTAGTGATGTCACTTGAGTTTGTTTCCTCAGAGTATGGCCAATCCACCTCCATTTCTTCCTGACTATTTGTTTCACAATCCGTTCCTGCTGTGTTGGTTCGCTCCCAGAGATCTCTATTGCTGATCTTTTCTGGCCGGCCATCTGATCTTGATTGGTATTGAGCGAAGACAACTGTTAATGAAGGTCTGTAGTTTGTTTGAGATGCTCTTTATGACGCGCAGTGCAAGTCTCTGATCCGTATAGTAGCACTGACTGACTTCACATTGGATTTGAAAATCCGGATCTTATTTTTGATGCTGAGTGTTGTTGACCTCCACACAGACTTGAGAGTAGTGAAAGCTTGTTTTGCTTTTCCGATTCTTGCTTTGATATCCTCGTCAGTTCCGCCTGTAGTTGAAACGATGCTTCCCAGGCAGGTAGGTGAAGGAGGTTGTTTCTTTCAGGTTCCTCCCATTTATGCTGATCGTTGTCTGTTGTTGTTGTTCTTGTCCAGGAATCTTCATCACTTCCGTTTTCTCTATGTTCACCTGAAGTCCTATCTTTGATGCTTCTCCTGCCAACTTGTTGCTTTTCGCTTGCGTATCTTCCAGTTTGTGGGAAATCAGACATATATCATCGGCGAAGTCCAGATCCTCCAAGTTTTTTGTGTGAGTCCATTTTATGCTTGTTTCCTCATTGCCCGCTGTTTGTCGCATTATCCAATCTACTGCAATCAGGTTGGCTGAAACAAACAAACAGATTTCATAGACTGATTTCAGGTTTGGATTTGACTAAATCTCACTCTTTTCCAACCCAATCCTATGTCAAGTAAAACTGTCTGTAGAGAAAGGCAATTGCAATCGATGTAGCTACACATTTTCAGTGACTGTCTTGCCCTCCTTACCTAACATTATTGATTGTAACACTAGTTATACCTAGGTGATCAATCAACATAAAGTTTCTCGTTTAAAAATCAATGTTTCACCAAATATTATATGAGAGTGTTTAAAAACACAACTGAGCAATATCGGCTTACTTTTGATCTTCAAGTTTCAATGGAGAGAATTTTTGTTAATAAAATTTTTTATGACGATTACTTTTTGTTTTTTTTGCATTTTTGTTGAAAATTATTATTTATTCGCTAAATACATGTTTAGCTACACACATATGTCGATGAATTGATTACGAACTCTCGATTACATATACACAAACATATATACATATATATATTGTGGTTGTTGTTGGTATTAGATGGTTGGAGGCTGTCATCATGATGCCTTGAACTTTGGTTTCGTGATTGTTAGCACTCATCAGTCAATAAAGCCTAACTGCAATCTTTTGAAATAACTTATAACAACTCTGAGATTCGAATCCATGTCACCCGGTTCTGCAGTCACAGACGTTACCACTGAGCTATTCGGACTCGGGATTCACCTCCTGTAGAATTTTAATGGATATTTTGATTGAACACTACTTACTTAGGCAGTAAGTAACTAGTGTCATTCGTCTAGTCCTTTGTTTGGTGCATACTGACCTCTATCAGTCAAGTTTGCAATGTGACTATTATGCTAGTTGGGTTGCCATCACATCTCTGACTGCAGCACTGGCTGACGCGGGTTCGAGTCCCAGAAGGGACATGAGCTCCTTCAAGAGACTGCAGATACGTTCTGTTGATGAGTGAAAACGAGCATGAAACATAGGCTCGAGGCTTCCTATCGATTACCTGCAACCACCTGCACCGTAATAGCGAGCCATCTAGCATGCTGGTCACATTGAAAACTTGACTGAACGCATTCAGTTTACACCAAACAAAGGACTAAACTCATAACTCTAGTTGCCACCCTGTGTATATATATTTATAAAGATAACAATGAACAAACTGTAGTGGCATTTTCTTCAGACTTTCTCAAGAGTATTTAGTTTTTTT